TGTTGTACCCTAATGCCATCAAGATATATAGGGGAACCCATCTGTATTTCTGGGGTGATGGGGGGATCCCAACAGCTAACTGTATTGGAAGCCGAAGTAAGTCTAACTGGGAATGGGTAGCAGAAGCACCCCATTGTGACTGGCCCAGACGCTCCGTGCATCACTTGCACATCACTTGCAGAGAGTGAACCCGTTTGCATCACTGAGAAATACCCCTTTAAGGCCAAGTTTGAGGCAGAGAAGGGGAGCAAGCATGTCTGTGGACAGAGGGAGGATTTTAGTATCCAGGGCAACCAACCCTGCACTTTTCATAAGCACTAAAATTCAGCAAGTTTGCATGTATCAGTAGCGTGCCTCTTTCTTCGGCTCTTTGATCGCTGCTGTCTTATATAGCACCTGTCATTTTGGCTCATTTCAGCAATATCTGCCTTTTTTTAGGCTGTCTGTTGAGGTAATACTGTAACTGATTCAAGATCAACATTACTTTGGCATTCAGGAAGCACAGCATGTGTGCTAAGAGCAATATCATATAGAAATAAAATGCTTCGCAGTGGTAATCCCATGCTGCTGCCCTGCAGACATTTTGGGTTGCCTCAGCGTCGCAAGGGTGATGGCTGGGGCTCTGGGGGTCCAGCAGGTCGCCTGGGCTGGGGCAGGAGAGCCTCGTGCTCCCAGTGGGCAGCCCCGCTCTCAGCGCTGCTGCAGACACTGGCCTCCTGGGACATCCTCTCTGTGTCAAAACTTTCCAGATTTTCCAGACTGGCTGTATTTTTATTATATTAACATCATAGATAAGAGCAAAGCTTTCGTCTTTTAGGGATCAGCCCATGCCCTGAAGTTCAGTTCTGGATCTCAGCTTTTGTACTGGTCAGGGACATTCTCACCCTGAATTTTCATCAGGAAACTTCTCTGGTTTTTTTACTCTTCTTTATAGCTAAAATGTGCTGCAGCCATGTGTGAGTGTCCACATGGGACATATATTGTGTGGTACATACTACCACCACCCCCAGCAGTAGCACATATACCCACCACTGACTCCTAAACCTGGATAGTGCTGGCTTTGCTACACGTTGAAACAAAAGTATATAATGCATGTATGTGGCATCAAAATCTGTCCTTTGGAGGGCAAATAGGTCAAGCTCAACAGAGGTTAAATCATAATATAATCCATCCACTCATGCATGCACGTCCCACTTAAAACTCTGTGGAGCGAGGCAAGCACCGCATTGTCTGTGCTTTTCCCTCTGGCCAGAATGGCATTCACACTGTAGTATTATGTACAGATAATTATAGCATGTATCTTTTCAGAACACAGTTTTCGTAAGCAAAGAAATTGCAGGAATGGTATTATTCATCAGATGCAAGCAGGCCATTTTCTTTTCTTTCCAAATGTTCTAGCTGGAAAATTATTCAGCACCTTTGCCTGAGTTCAGTAATACTGCTGCAGGGGTTTAGCTTGTTTTGTTTGGTTTGGGTTTTATTTGCTCAGCATATACTGCTTATGACCCAGATTCTTATTTGGTAAATACTGCTGTGATGAAGTTCACTTTTTGGATGTACTTAGATCTCTTTGCAGCAAACAAGGATTTGGCCTTGTATCTCTTTGAACAAACAGAAAATTGTGCACGAGGAGGAAAGCTCCTATAGGGTGGTCTGACTGACACTAGCCATATACTGTTGAGATCTTAACAGAAGCAACCCGTTTTCTTTTGCTCTCCGGATCTTAACGAACATCTCATCTACATCTTCTGTTTACTGCGTAGAGGATGTGATGAGCCTGATGGAGGGGTCAAGTGGTTTTGCATGTGGCTTAAGACACCTTTGGTAGAGAGCCATCAAAGCGCTCTCTACTCACAGAACAGGGGAAGAAAGTAAGTCCTGGAGGACCAACCTGAAGCCTTTTCAGAGCTTGTTATGTCTGGGTTTCCCTCTGCAGCTTCACAAGCTGGCAAGCTCCTTCTCTTGACTATTTGCTCCTGCCTCCTCGCTGTCCTCAGAGCAGTTTCCAATGCAGCAGGTTCATGGGGCACCATGGTGAACCAAATCAGCGAGCTTTCCTGAGCTAAAAATACCCTCTGTCCATTTATGTATTTATTTATTGTTCTGCATTATTTGTAGCTTGGATCAACTCTTTGGCATGGTTCACTGAGCGGCCCTATGGGAGAGGGAGAGGGAGAAGTGCAAGAGTAACCATGCCCTCCACCCACTGCATCGGCCTTGACCTAGTAAGCAGTGAAAAAGTCTGTGTTTCTCGGGATGGCTGAGCCAAGTTCAGAGCTCCAGCGCTTGTCCGATCCCAAGGGAAACACGTTCAAGTGTGTGCAGTTTCTCCTAGAGCTTGTTTCAGTGAGCTGGACTGTGCAATCCAACCACTGCCAAGCCACGTAGGGTCGATGGTGGGTATGGGTGGCCAGGAGGACGCTGCCGCAGAAGGCTCCTCCTTCTATCCTTCCTTTGGTTCAGACGTAGCATAAACACTGCAGCTTTTGCACAGGGCCTGTCTTGAGTACCAGGGCAGATCTTTGCTGTTAACACCGGGGATGCAGTGAGAGCATCAGGCCATTTGTGGACCCTGAAGATCAGAACAGGCTGACTTACATGTCTTCGTCTCTCTGAGCAGTCTAAACTGCACCTGCTTCTGCATTGTATTTCAGTGTGTTTCAAAATCACACCATTTTATAGATCGGATCTGAGATGCCTAAACTGAGCATCAAAGCTGAGGTTTTGAACCATCTGAGAATCTTTGGTTACTGGCTTTTTCCTTTGTTGGAGGAACGCAAATGCTGATTTTAAGCACGAGCATATTGGAACAGTAAAGTTTGAAACTGGAACAGAAAATTCTGCTTAGGAATTTCTCGTCTGTTACAGAAATTCAAGGCAAATGTAAAAAGGATCATTTTCTACACTTGATGCTCATGTAGTAACAAGCGGCTTAGACAGTGTAATCACAGTCCCTGTTAAACTGTCCCCATTTATTAGCAGTTGCCACTCTGATCGCAAACACCATAATGTTTATCTAGACAATGAGAAATAACTGAGGAATGTGAGTGAATAGCCTTGCTTTAAACATGGACAAAGACTATTTAATGTGTTATCACTGCAGCTCCTTAATGGTGATGACTGTACTGAGAAGTAACACATGCTCAGTGAATGGTTTTGAGGATTGATAAGTGTGTCTTTATCACTGCTTATTAAGTTACTTTTCCTACTAATAAAACATCAATTGTTCGGTAAATCTTCAACAGGTGTTGTCTTATGTTACTAGCTCTGAACCTTATTTCCAGCTTTGTCAAGAGTCTTTTGCTTTATAGCACCCCACACAATGGTGTTCCAGTTTGTGAGTGGTGCTTCTAGGAATTATGGCTCTACAGAAGTATCATTTCATTAATTTTTTTCTCTGAGTTAAAAAAATGCAATTCTTTCAGTGTCTTATGGAAAGCTATGAGGTCAGGCTTGGGTTGCATTACAGCAACGATGAGATAAAGGCCTCCTCGTGCTCCCACTGAAGAGCAAAGTTGGGCTGAAGCTTTCCACCTGGAAGGTGTTGTGAAGTCTTTTACCGCGTTGCCTTCTGTATCGTTCTCCTTTCCTCTGTATTGGCATAACTCAGAGATGTTTTAATTTTAGCCATGCAGGGATGGCCCGGGGAATGTCTGGAAGAGTACAGAGTTTCTGGGGCTTGTGTGTGGTGTTTTTTTCTTTAAAGCAGTTTGCATTTTGCTTTTTTATTGCAATCGAATATAGTGGTGATAGCCTGACAGTTCCTCTAGGTTTGGTAAAGCCGAGTAATAGCATTTCAGGTGGGGACTAATTTTTCCACCATGCCATTACAAAAGTTTGTAATCTCAGTGGTGCTCTGTATGGCACCGCTTCCTTCCCCACCAGCAAAGCAGGCTTAGGTGGATTTGTGTGCCAAAGCTGAATATGCCAGGAAGTCTCCTGAATCTATCATCCTCCCATATGTCAGAGTGACAAGAGATGTGTGAGCCCTGGTGGTTCAGTTTGCCCTTAAAACCCAGACTTGTAGCTTGAGGAGTCCTGCAGGACTCCCTCCCACTGAGCTTACAAGGAGACCCAGCGCCTCCCAAAGTATTGTAAGTGGGTCTTCAGAGAAATCGCCTTTGGTGATACCTGGCAGTATACCACTTTCCGTAGTGTTTGATGGAATTGTATCAATGCCCTCTCCTCAGGGACTGAGTTATGTTTGTGGTGCAGAAAACTTAGTGCTACTTATGTACAAAAGCCTCATCTTGGAGTTTTTTTATGTAACAGGAAGTGATGAAGGGTTATTCCAGCTCTTAATTCTGGTACATCTCTGTGCCTGGGAAACGTCACATGCTCCCTACATTATTGCCATTAGGGTCATGCAAGATAACATTCTTGTTTCTTATGAATCTGTGCTGATGCTTCACTTACTGTGGTGCTTGTAAAGATAGGTGGGCAACAAGTCTTCACCCTGTACTTATTCTTGCTTTCCTTCATGGAGTTTTCTTCTTTCCTCCACAGTTTGTCAAGGGACAAATAACAAGCTGACCCAGCTGGGACATGTGGAAGACCATTTCACCAGCCTGCAGAGGATGTACAACAACTGCGAGGTGGTATTGAGCAACCTGGAGATTACATACGTGGAGCACAATCGTGACCTCTCTTTTCTGAAGGTTAGTGTTCTTGGCCAATGTGGCCTTCCCTGCTAAAGGAATCTTACTGCATTTTTTAAGTGCAAAGGATCACCTACCTATAAAATTCTATGGTGATCCAAAAACATAGCTAGCTAATGTCAGAGAAATTGCAGATCACAGTCTCGGCATACCTGTAGGCTGCAGGATATGCTCAACCCTACTATACTAAATCAGGTACTTTGAGAAATAGCTTTTCAAGCGCCTGCCAACCTGTGCTGGCTGCCATGCAGATGGGTTTCTTCTTATTTATAAATATCATTACATCCTTACCCATTGCCTCACTCCTCAGAGGGCAAAAGGCTTTGTGGTGCTGTTGGGCAAAGCAAATCGCAAAGTGAGTGGCAACCCACTGATGGCAGATTTTGAAGTGTGGAGGCCCTTCCCCTGCCCTCCAAGCTGGGACCCCTTCCCCTGCCGTGGTGGTGAGTGCCCCTCCGGCCTGCAGTGCCCGCACCCCAAGCAGGCAGGCAAGTCCTGTACAATAACTTCCCACGTGGACGCTTCAAGCAATCTTCAAGATAATCCTCTGTGGTTGACCCATGGGCTACTCCCATCTCAACATTTGTTTTGTGCACAAGTGCATAAGCGACCATGGCAAGCTGAGAGGGAAACAGACAGGGGATGGATGTTAAAACGCAACTGCAGCATGGGGAGGAGCATTGTCTGCCATGGGGACCTCCAGGCTCTCCACCAGCAGAGACTGGGCAAGGGGTACAGCTCTGCTGCCCTGCTGCCCCGCTGCCACCAGCAGCAATAGTGTCGTACCTTAGGTTATTATTTTTTTTTTAAAGAAGGTGTTTTAAATGCATTGCTTTTCACATGCCTGGTTATCAGATTAGGAGGTTTTCAAAGGAAGAGGCAGGAGAGGTAGCAGGTTTTTTGACATGATAAGTGTATGTCTGGTATCAAGTGCTCTTGTATGGTAGCTTTGAATAAACAGGTCAGTCCTCCAGTTTGAGAGGAGTAATCTCTTTGTGTGAGCTTTTCTTCTCAGGGAACAAAGAAAGGGAAAAAAACATTTCATTATAGTAACAAAAGAGAACATCAGAAAAGAGATGGTTCAGACATATGAGTTACAAATATGATGGTATTGCCATTTTTCTTTCCCAAGCACAACTTGACCATGGAGCTCAGTGTTCCCAGGAACATAACAGGTCTCTTGAAAACTCACTGGTGGTCTTCATAGAATAGGAAAATATTCTAAGTGGTAGCCTGAGGGCTTTTCATTTATGGTGATCTTTGTATGAGATAGAAATGCACACATTTCACAGTACAAGGCAGGAATTAACCTACATCCAGGGACAGTGCCTCACTTGTCTTGTTGGCCTGTAACTACTTATTACTTAAGAGGGAGAAGGTTACCTGATCTTCTCCTCTGCTGGGCAATGGAGGATCCGCAAGGGAAGGGGCACAGAAGAGAGAGTGTAAAAGTCTCAATCAGATGGTATCTCTGTGCTGCCAATGGTTGGAGGCTGGGCAAGTATTCAGGGGAAGCATCACACTTGGTTGCCATATCATACATGCTTGCCCTGTTCTCCTGCATCCCCTAGGCAGCCCCACTTGCCCTTGCTTGGGGACAGAACAGGGGTAAGCTGGACCTTTGGAATGAGCCCCTGGTAGCTGCTCTAAGGGTCAGCTTATACCTGCTTAGACAGCAAAATTTTCCACATAGTCCCGTCTTGTTCTCAGATTTAATTTATTTTTTAATGAGATTAAGTGGCTTATCATTCCTTAAAATTGAAAGATGGTGGATTGGAGGGGTGGGAGGAGGAAAGAAACTCTGTCAAGAGTGGAAGAGTGCTATGGATTAAGCACCTTGTTTCTTCTGTTGTTCTCTCAGACAATACAGGAGGTTGCAGGCTACGTGCTCATCGCGCTTAACATGGTGGATGTCATTCCCCTAGAAAACCTCCAGATCATCCGAGGCAATGTGCTGTATGACAACTCTTACGCCCTGGCAGTTTTATCGAATTACCACATGAATAAAACCCAGGGACTCCGAGAGCTGCCAATGAAACGGCTATCAGGTGAGACAAGGGCAAGAGGTGGAGGCACCTGTAAAGCAAACTTCAACTGTTAGGTTATTGGTATCAAGATCCAATTGAAGATCTCCTCTCAAAGTCATATGCCATCAAATCCTGCTTTAAAAACAAGGATCTCAATGTAGTTTCCCAGTTTCCTAATTGCTTTCCTGCTAGCCAGCCTTCTTCAAGAGATGAAGAAAGTTCTTAATTTCCCATTGCAGAAAGATGCGGAAAATCCAAAACATCAACAGGGTGGTGAGATTTATTTGTGTCCCCCAAAATGGCAAAGAAGTATCCATTCATTATTTTGGATTATTTGATTCCAGTGCATGCACATCAGTATTTTCTGTTAAATTCCAGTAGGAGCTGGTGGTATGTGAGTTAAGGGTCTTACACGGTGTCTGGCTGACGGTCTCTGGCTGTGTACACCAGCAGTGCCATCTCTGCTGAGTGCAGTGGCCTCTGGAGGTGGCACCAGGCAGAAAGCCACATGTAGTGGCATCTTAGTGGCAGCCAAAAGCAGCTGACCCTCCAGAACCCGTCAGTCTGAGCCTGGTGTTAGTTGCACCATCAGGAGTGCTAGTGCCGTGCAGATTGTCCTTTTCTGTCAGCATAGTGTGGCTGAGGTGAAGAAACGTGTTTTATTTCCCTTTCTTTAGATCAGAGACAGAAGACTTAGGCAGTTTGCTTGACTTACCAACTTTTTTCCTTTTCCTTCCATGGCAGAAATTCTCAATGGAGGTGTTAAAATCAGCAACAATCCCAAACTGTGCAACATGGGCAATGTTCTCTGGAATGACATCATTGACACAAGCAAGAAGCCTCTCATGGTGCTTGAATTTGCAAACAACCTGTCTTCTTGTGAGTATTGACTTACCAAAAATGCTGTGCACTCCCCCATTTCAGAGAGAAGAATGAACATCCCATCTTTCGTGCGGTGGGTTTCAGGTCCACCAATTCCTGCATGCAGGTCCACCAAGCCCTCTTCCAAGGGAAGGCCATTCATTTCTTCACCACTGGCCTAAGACATAATTTTTCATGGTGGTTAGGTCCTTGACGCATAGGTCAGCGAAGTTCTTGGGAAAGCTTCTCTTGATTTCAGACAGTACCCTATGTATGTGTTTCTTCAAAGACAGCTCAGAATAACGTGCACTCGTTTGTTTTCCAGCAATCTTCTGTTTACAATATAAGGCTCTGGTCTAGAAGACCCATATGGGTACCTTCATGGAGTTACTGGGGGACTTGAAGCCCTTTTAGCGCTAAGGCCAAAGCTGAGTGCCGTAAAACGCCGGTGCTTCGGGCTGCAAGGATTATCCTTGCAAAATTAATGATAAACAGGCAGATAGATCTGATGCTTTAGATCAGCAGGGAGATGAGCATATATTTAAGTTTGTGTAGCATATGCTTTGAGTGGGCTCAACCTAATCCTTCAGCCTTACCAATCCCTTGTAAAATCCCCAGTCATTTCGTAGAAAGGAGAGTTTATTTTCATTTCTGAGCATTTAATTTCTGGCACTGTAAATTGGCAGAAAAACATATTTTCTTTATCTTCTTCCAGTTACATAATTGCCTGAGAGCTAATAGCCAACTTCCGTGTAGACATATTTTTCTGCAGAGCCCTAGCATAATCAAGGGGCTGCGAACAATACAAGTCAGCACAGGAGTTTGACTCTAAACACCACAGAAATGTTAACCTTTAACTTTTCAACTTTAAAAAAAAAAAAATAGTTCTTTGGTCCCGCACCAAATCAATCAACTCTTGGACAAGTATTGGCATTTGCTCAGCTATTTGTTGGCGGGGGGAGGGAGAATCACATGTTGTTAGCAGGAAGAATCACTTTAGTAGGAAATGCCTCTTAAATGTAGTGAATTCCAGATTAATCTGCTTAGGCAGCCATTTATGGTTTTAATAACGATCCTGTAATCTAAAATAAGTTGTTTCTCTGGGACTTTGCTTGTTATTAAGAGAAAGAAAAAGAAGAAAAAGGAAGAAAGGAGTAAGGAAGGAGGGATGGGAAAAAGCCTGGCACTGAACCTTCCAGGTCAGGCAGAGTGTCCATCCATCCTGCCGCCTCTCCATCAATTGTCCATCTGCCGTGTAGTCCTACGCTGAGGAGTATTTTTGGCAGAGGACGGGAGGAGCGTGCGAAGCAGACAAGTCGAATTACTTTGTGGTCGGAGTAGCTGGCAGTTGCCTGTGAATCCAGTTGGGTTTGTTTTCTTTTTAGAACCACATTGTTCAGAAACATTGATTTACATGTGGCCTGTAGCGAGCAGCTGGCACATGCCCGGCCGCAAGCCAGCGATGACTTGCTGTTGCATGCAAACTCCAGCAGAAGGGCCAGCCGGGCAGTAGCCGAGATTCCTGTTCCTGGGAAAAATATGCCTCTTTCGTAAGCTGGACTGGCTGGGTATTGCACTTGCTTGCTCAAAGGTGTGGAGAACTGCACGTAGGAAACCAGATATGAACAAAGGATAGGGATTTAAGGTCCAGCTTTCGAAATTTTTGAGCACTGGTATATTGGTCCTTCCTCCCCTGATTTATTGAGAAGGAAAGCTCAAGTCCCTGTTTTCGGTGACTCACATGATGTTGTTGTTGTCCATGTTTATAGAATATAATACTCTGCTCTTGTGTTTTAGGTCCCAAATGCCATCCGAACTGCACAGAAGACCACTGCTGGGGCCCTGGCGAACAGAACTGCCAGACATGTAAGCCTGCAGATTAATTAAGAAATATCTCGTGTGCTCTGACATACTAAATTTCTATCTACCGAAAAACTAACCTGTCAAGTGCGAATTAGTGACACGTGCTTCACATCTGTCCTTCTCTGCATCCCGCTATGCTGGGGCTCCTTGAAGCACACCATGTCCCTCCGTGGCCTGCTTCCTGCTCTGCAAAAGCGCAGTCACGGGGAGGACGGCCGTGCCCACTCCCCCTGAGTAGCTCCATTTCTGGAGGGGAAACCTCGAGGTGGTTTGACTTGGGTCTGGGTTTCCCTGCAGATGTGCTGTTCCTCCAGAGGGAAGAGACTGCAGCCGCCTCCCGTCTTTTGTCTGTTGCCCACAACTTTTCCCCATCTGCACTTGAAAACATTTATTCTTTAAGTTATTTTACCATGTAAGAGAGAACGCAGTAGCTGCATGGTGAATTGTTTGCCTTCCTGCTGTTTCCTGTAGAGTCATTCTACAGGCTAGTTAACGATACTTTGGATTAATTTCTACTATTAGAAGCAACAACACAACCCGATTTTTGCTGGCTTTAATTCCTCTTTTTGGAATCCCCGTAGGTTTCTTTTGTAAACACAAAAGATGTCACCTTCATGTGGGTAATCACACCACATACTGTACTCGGAGGACCTTTGGAAGGCTCTCAGAAAATGCATAGCCATTTTTTAATTTGTAAATGGAGGTATTTGGCATTGTGAGGTTGTTCAGTTTGGTTGCCTGTGCTTTACTGTAAACTTTTGCAGGTAGGATGCTTGATATTAAGAGAGATGCTGATATTAAGAGAGCGACACAAACATCCATTTAGAGTGCTTGAGATTTTGCAAGGCTTTCTTTCTCCTAAAGTAAAGGCTGAGGAGGAAGCCCATCTCAATTTGTTTTGATACTTCATTATTTCCTTTTTCTGTAACGAGTAGGGAAATGCACTGTTTCTGATTCTTCTTTCCTGCCAGTTTTGTGTAAAGTTCAGTGGAAAGACACTGATCTAGACATAACGCAAATGAAAGCAACGTCCTATCTTCAGTTTTCCATTGCAAATAATCACCTAAACCTAAGTTCCTTGCTTGCAAGTATCAGGCCAAATCTGTACGGCTTCTACAGCTTGAGGAAACAGGAACATACAGCTTCTCTCTTCTCATTTAGTACAAGCTTTAGGGGTTTTTTCAGTCAGCTCTGCAGTTTGGCTCATGCCTTGAACTGCTCTTGAGGTGGACAGTGGCTGCGCACACAAAGCCCTTCTCAGGTTGGTCCGGGCAGCTGAGACCACACAGCTGTCCTGGGGGCTTGCAAAACCTCAGGTCTCAGCCCTGCAAGTTTCCAGCATTTACAAACTCTTGCTAGCTTTGGGAGGATGACAAGGAAAAACGAAAACCGTTTGCAGGCTCTGGCTCTCCTCTCGAGGCATTTGAGAATCTGGCCAACTGAAAATATATCCCACATTTCCATATGTGGGAAAGTTAGGGGTGATACATATCTTTCTCCTTCAACAAACGTGAGATATTCTGTATGAAATATAAACATTTGCTGTGATATATGTTTCCAGCAGGAAGCTCTAGTCAATAGCTATCAAAGTGATGAGCTGTTTTACTCCCCTGGTGATGCTTATGAAAAAAATGATATCAAAATGCTGTTCGTGTAGAACAATGTGCCTTTTATTCCCCTGTTTCTAGTTGAACGGACGAGTTGCTATCAGAGAAGCTAATGCATATTGTAGAAATAATCTGTTTCCTTGAAAATATAATATCTTGCTTACAGACCTACAAGAAGCATGAAATAATACAGGTTGGGTATAAAAGTGTGTAATGGAAAAAGATAGGAAATATGATTTAAACAAAAAATCAGTTATATATCCTGTAGTGGGCTACATCTTCCAATAATTTTCTGTTAATTAACAACCATGTTTTGACTTACAGGAATTCCTGATGATATTGTAACTCACTTGTGCCAACTGCGAAGCTGGTAACAGTTACTGTAGTGCACAGCCGAAATGCTCAGGGTGCTGTAATGCAAAGGATTAGCCATCAGGTTTCTCTGATGTCTAACGCCAGGGTCTGTGGATCAGTAATTTTTTTGTAGAGAACAATCACATTTTGGGTCTCTGGTACAAACACATGCTAGCCATTAATTTCTGGGGTTTTTTTTAATTGTTCTGATTATCGTTTTCTCTGCTTTGATATTCAAATGGAGACAATTTCCTGATTCTCAACAAAATGTTGCAGGCAGTTTTTGCTTCCCTGCAAAAAGCTGACTCAGGGCCAGTTCTTACTCCGGGTTGCTGCACTGGTGCAAACCCTGTGGGAGTTGAGTAATGAAGATAAAATTTGGCCAAGGAATTGGAGCCTAAAGAAAAATAATATGATATGCATATGAAATCGGTTTGCTGAGTGGGTCTCCCCTCTCTCTGCAAATTTCAGAAATATTTTTAGAGCATTGAAGGGATCCTAACACCACACCAACAATGTGCGGTTTCCCGTTATAGTACAGAGTCCTGGCAGTTCTCCTGTTGTGTTGTTTTTCCCAAATCTAGCACCAATAATAGCAGATTTTCTCAACAAAATGGAGCCAGATCCTGCTCTATTGCTCAGCTGTAAGATGCAATGACTCCACAGAGTTTTTCTTGGTTTAGGCATTGATGCCACAGGGACCTGGATGCTCTTTCTAAGCAGGACATGGTTTGCTGGCTGGGACCAGAGTGCTTAGCACCTCACAAGAGTCAAGATAATTACAGGCTAAACACAACCCCTTCTTGCCACCACCCACACCAGCTCTCACCCCTCCCGAGCTTTGGCCTTATGTGAGAAAAGAATACACATTCCATGGGGAAAATCTAGCACAGATCCCGCACCAGACCTTTTCTCCATATTTCTTGATCTCATTGCACCAAGTACAGCTTAAACATTCTTCATTCCTGATGTTCTTCCTTTTTTCTTGTGTCTTCCAGTAACAAAAGTCATCTGTGCCCAGCAGTGCTCTGGCCGGTGCAGAGGAAAGGTGCCCAGCGACTGCTGCCACAACCAGTGTGCTGCGGGGTGCACGGGGCCTCGGGAGAGCGACTGCCTGGTAATGATGCTACACCACCACCGTAATTGCTTAAATCCCTGGGCATGGCGAGGCAGGCTTTCAGCTGCATGTCCTCTAGCCTTCTTTCATATGAGAAGGCCCCTGAGAGATGCTGACCTGGAAGGTGCCCCGGGGCTTCCCTGCACAGGTGTTCAGTGGGAGGGAAGAGGACATGAACTTCACAGCACCCTTAGCTGGTCTTTACTGACTCTGCAGGTGGACCTTCCTAATGCATGCCAAACCAGCATTAGTGCCTTCGAAAGCCCAGTGAGCTCAAAGCTGTTGCAGTCCAGCTAAGTGTTTGCTGTAGGGCAACTTCCCCACATAAGCAGGTCCCCAGGTCCCACCAGCTGCCCAGCTGCCACCATGGTGCAGTGCCATGCCAGCACAGCTTTGCCATGTGCTCCTTAATGCTAGTCAGTAATAATCTTAGTTTACCAAAGCAAGAACTTGTAAGGGGAATCAAATATGATGGATCTTCACTCTTTCTGCGTTTCATTGAACTTCAGACACAAAATCAAGGTTTCCCTTTCTGGTTTTCTCTTGCTGCAAAAGCACTGTGTTTGGGGGGCCCTGGGGCAGTGGAAGGAGAATGAGCAAATGGAGCTTTTTTAGGGAAAAAAAATCCTATTGCTTTTCTACAAGAGTTTCAGGGGGTTGGTGCACGCTGTGTTTTTAACTCTTCCCCATGTTTGCAGTACACTTCATTCTGAATTAAGTGACACTTGAGTAATTGCCACAGAAACCGTCCAGTCTGGGTTTTGTTGTTGTTATCTGTATTCCCGGTCCCCTTACAAATTGCGTGGCTATGATGCCCTTACAGGCTCACAGAGAAGACAGTTATTCTCTCTCTGGAAAGCCAGGGAAGAAAAAAGGGGAGAAGAGAGTGATTATTAATTTAATGCAGAATTAGGTCAGAAGAACCAAAATGTCCTTCATAAATGCCTGCTAAATTGTTCATTACCTGCAGCCAAATATAATGGCTTCAGTTTAATATTTAGCCAGAAAAGTCAGTAATGGGCAGGAAAGGACTTGATTTGATTTAAGTTATTAAAAAGCAGCCAAGAAAAGTACCGTCTGTCTTGATCTGGTTACTGCTTGTAGGGAAAATTCTTCTGTCTAAGGCATGCAGATTTGCTCCTGTTCCCACGTGAATCCCAGCAGCTCTCCACCAGAGTGCCAAGGTTCCTTACTCAGAACAAGAAAACCTCATGTTCTCTCTTTTTTTCCAAATACTAAGCTCAATTGCCCAGCCTGAAGCAACCTTTCACCTTCAAAACATGAGGGACCATCCTGTAGGTGCTTGGGGTTTCCATTAGAGCTAAGCAGGGAACAGATGAGCCCATCAGAGTGTTATTAAAGAGCTAATGTAAAACCATTGTCGCTTTTTAAGGAGAAAGTAGTTTAATGGGTGCTGTTGTTCAACGACAGGCATGTCGCAAGTTTCGAGATGATGCTACATGCAAGGACACGTGTCCCCCATTGGTCCTGTATAACCCCACCACCTATCAGATGGATGTCAACCCCGATGGAAAATACAGCTTCGGAGCCACTTGTGTGAGGGAATGTCCACGTAAGTTTATTTCAGGTCACAGCCACAGAGGAGGTGGGGGGTTGGAGGGAGGTGAGAAGGGACCTGTGTCATCCCTCTGCATTATGGCCAAGTGCAAAAGCACTTCTTGTTCTCCTCAGCTTCTGTGGGAACCGGGAACAGATGATAAAAATGAGAGGATAGCTGGTAAAGAAGACAGCCGCTTTAAACTGGCTGCATCCATCACCTTCCCTGATTTTTAACCATTAAATTTTGACCTCTGAAGATTTTTCTTTTGATGGGGAAAAAAACCATCTTATGAGAATCATCAAAACAACGGCCAAACAAGTCATATGGGATCAATCCTGTGGATTACCAAAGCATTATCAACTCTTAACTGGTTCTTAATTAGGACTGATAGAAAGTAATTGGTTCAAATACTCCCTCTCAAGGCCTGTGATCATTGCTTCCTCTACAGATGCTCGCTTTTTCTTTCATGCTATTCCATGTCCATGGTTTTTTAACCCATCAAGACATCTGTAGGAGAGGGTTTAGCTTACAGAACTGATATCCCTTTCTGAGGTTGACCATTGCCCTGCCTGACCCTTAGCCTGGAAGAGGGAGTGAAGGTGAGGGATCAGAGGTGCTGTGTATTGATCCCGATTATGGCACTGCTGCACAGCCTGACCTTGGCAATGTTGTTTTATCCTTCTGTGACCATTCCCCTCTCTGTACACTGGTGATACCATTGTATGTCTGTCAACCTTCAAAGGATGTTTGTGAGAATTAATAATTAATGCCTGTACTTTGCCAAGTATGCCAAAAGTTCAAAAACCCTTTTTCTTCCTAGTACTGAAGTGCCTGTGCAGCCCCCAATGCATCCGTCTTGTATTTCAATGACCTTTGTATTCTTGTTTTTCCAGACAACTACGTGGTGACGGACCACGGCTCATGCGTTCGCTCATGCAATACTGATACTTACGAAGTGGAAGAAAATGGTGTTCGAAAGTGTAAAAAGTGTGATGGGCTATGCAGCAAAGGTATAAAAAGCATGGAATAAACCAGTAAGGCTTTGAGATGATAGGTAACTTATTAGAAAAAGTCCATGGAGTTCTGACCTTAATTAAGTGCAAATTCAATAATAAATAACCACTGATAGTTTGGAGATCTGACAAGTGGTTTGATCAGGAAACATGGCTGTGGAGCATGCTCTCCAACTGGGTTACACCACAAGTACAGTAGATAAACTGTGCGTCATGTGCATGTGTATCTTGCACATCAGCCGCCTTCTTCATTTGTCCTTCCCAGTGTATCATCAAGGGGAATAAAATGAAAATGAGACAAAGAGAGACAAGGGCATGTGCCAGAGCCTGTGTGCAGAGATGCTCAGACCAGAGCTGCACAGCTGGGCAAGCAGGAAGCGTTTGTCCTGTGGTGCTTTCTGAAAAGCAAAAGTAGGCAAAAGATCTATGAAACTCATCTTACAGTGATAGGTTTGACCATATGGGAGTGCTTTCTGGACTAATGGCATCTTCATGTTTGTTCCCTTCCATGTGATCGGGCTTCACTCTTCTCCCCCCTGACTTTTGTATCTCTCTTTTAACAGTGTGCAATGGCATTGGAATAGGTGAACTTAAAGGGATACTCTCCATAAACGCCACAAACATCGACTCTTTCAAAAACTGTACGAAGATCAACGGGGACGTCAGCATTCTTCCAGTTGCATTTCTAGGGTGAGTTGCACGCTGGTCATTTAGCACTGGAGGAGAAGGGCTAAGGAGAAATTCAGGCTGAGCCATTCTTTTCCCAATTTCTCATTCTGTGTTTTTCAGCGATGCTTTCACGAAGACCCTACCCTTGGACCCCAAGAAGTTGGATGTCTTCAAAACAGTCAAAGAAATATCAGGTCAGCAATGGATTTTAAGTTGAGATGGTCTCTGATCGGTACTGCCAAAAACACAAAGGGAGAGGAGGGAAATTTTTTAAGCACATGAAGAGAAGTACAAGCAAACGGTTTTTGTCTCTGAGCTACCAGGGTTCACTCTTCACAAAGGTGGTCAGCAGCGCCTTGCCAGCATTAACGCCCACGTAACCCATACTGGCCTCCCATCCAAGGTGTGTCGTTTGGCCAGACCATCCCTTCTGCTGAACTGTCAGCCCTAGCAAAGAGTAAAAGCAGAGGAGATTCTCAGCCACCCAAGAAGTATGTGGTGATGCAGAGGCGTGCCACTCCAGCTAAAAAAAGCCAAGCATGTTTCTATTTGTGGAAAACCTTTCAGCAGCTCCTTAGGGAAGCGTGCTCAGTGGCTTGCATCATCCTTGCGGAGACACCCTCTCCAGCCTGAAGAGCTCTTCCTTGGGGTGAATGTGTCTCCACGAGCACAAAGTGGCCAGCGGAGCCAAGTCTTGCACCAAGTATCAATTAAGAGCAATTTTGTTCAGCCCATTATAAAATGAGCGTAACATCAGAGCTGGGTCCACAGACGTGACTCCAGTTCCCCTTTTCTTTCTGTCCTTTACCTTTCTGGTTCATGTCGGGGTAGCAATGACTAACCTCAGAGCTTCATACAGCAGCCTGCAACTTCCCAAATTCTCCCCGTCCTCCCGAGCGCCTCGGCTGAGCAGGGTAATCTGCTTGCCTTAGCAAATCCATTCCAAGTGGCTGTCTCTTCTGCTCCATTTCTGCTTTATTTTCAGTTTTTCTCTTCCCTGAGGGCAGCTCACAAATGGGACGGAGCAATGCCTTTCTCCTGCAGCCTCTCAGCCTGGGTATCTGCTGGCAAGAGACATCACCAAGTCATCACTGGCGGCTCCGTGTGGCAGGATGTGCGGCTTACCGACACACTCGTCTCTTGCGCTCCTAAGCCCTCATGGTGGGCTAAGAAATAAACTGTTTATAAAACGGGGTTTAAAAATATCTCCCTGCTCCCTAAAATGTCATGTTTCACTTTGAGATTCTCAGATAAGCACAAGCACCTTCTTCCAGCGCAGGAGGAGCTTGAGAAGGAGGTTCTGCTGCCAATACTGACCACGGTTTTATTTTTATTATTATTATTATTTAATCTTCTTCATTTCAGGATTTTTGTTGATTCAGGCCTGGCCCAATAATGCTACTGATCTCTATGCTTTCGAAAATCTGGAGATTATACGAGGCAGAACCAAGCAACAGTAAGTCAATCGTGTCAGAGCAACTGCAAAAGAAACTGTTTAGATTTGCGTTTGTCTGAGCGCATGTCGTGGTTTAATCTCAGTTGGCAACTAAGCACCACGTAGCCGCTCGCTCACTCCCCCCCACCCGGTGGGATGGGGGAGAGAATTGGAAGAGCACAAGTGAGACAAACTCGTGGGTTGAGATAAAAACAGTTTAAGAATTGAAATAAAATGATAATAATAATAATACACAAAGCAAGTGATGCACAGTACAATTGCTCACCACCCGCCGACCGATGCCCAGCCGGTCCCCGAGCAGTGGCCCCCCCGGCCAGCTTTCCCCAGTTTATGTACTGAGCGTGACGTCACATGGTATGGAATGTCCCTTGGGCCAGTTTGGCTGTGCCCCCTCCCAGCTTCTTGTGCACCTCCAGCCTTCTCAGTCAGTAGAGCATGGGAAGCTGAGAAGTCCTTGACTAGTGTAAGCACTACCCAGCAACAACTAAAACATTGGTGCATTATCAACTTTGTTCTCATCCTAAATCCAAAACACAGCACTGTACCAGCTACTAGGAAGGAAATTAACTCTATCCCTGCCAAAACCAGGACAGCGCACCAAGGTACCAAGCGGTGAGACGTGGGTCCCCAGACTGATGCAAAATGGGAAAAAGCCTGTGAGGAGTCAAGCACCATCTTTGTAGCAGTAGATAATGTGCCCTCGGGGAATGAGACCCTCAGCTCTGTGCTGCATGTGGAGGGCTGCCCTGAGCCTGCTCTAGGACCAGGCTCTCCCCCACCAGCCTGGAAGCGCAAGCAGGACAGAGAGCACCCTTTGCAGTCCAGGGCAAGTTACGATGTGATCAGAAGCACTTTGGGATTTGAGGTAGCTGGGCAGTCGGGGATGGAGACTGTGGCTGCCAGGCAGTGGGGACATCGGCAGTGCATCCAGTGCCCACCTGGGCTTACCCCGAGAGGAAGGGTGGCTTGGGGGAAGAGCAAAAAATAATAGCTGCTCTACCTACAACCACTGTTGCACATCATTTACTTGACAGGGCGCACATGTCCTGCCAGTTTTAGCTTAAAATACCCGTGCAAAACCAGATATGAGTATTGAAGTTGTTTTATGACAGGTATGTCATGTACCAGGTGTTAAGCTTAGAGGGCTGAGCAATGTCTTGAGTTCGCAGCAACACGTTTGAAAACCAAAAGAAAAATGTTATGAGTTAAACCCTGCTTACTAATTCTCTTTCTTCTGTGTTTTTTTCTTTTTGCCCGTCTCCATTTTAGTGGCCAGTATTCCCTTGCCGTTGTTAACTTGAAAATACAGTCGTTGGGGCTGCGGTCCCTCAAGGAAATAAGTGACGGAGATGTTGCCATTATGAAGAACAAGAACCTCTGCTATGCTGACACCATGGACTGGCACAGCCTGTTTGCAACTCAGAGCCAGAAAACAAAGATTATACAGAACAGAAATAAAAATGAGTGTGGTAAGTCAATGCTGCCTTCCTGCCCCCTGTGGAAGCTTGTGCTAAAATGCAAGAGTTATTCGAGCAAGGCTTTTTTCTCTCTATTCCCCTGGCTGCAAAATTCATCAGTGATATTGCTTTAATGAAGGTGGTGAGGGAAAAGTGGGATTTTTTCCCACTGAGGATGTGAACTTCATGGTGTCCAGCAGACGGGAAGGAGCTGCTTCATCACGATGGGCATAGTGAAGCCACGTAGGTTGAAGGACACAGAAGCAAAGTCCAAACATTGGACTTTTTTGACAGGGTCGAAGCTGTTGTTCAACCATGCTGCTGTAGACTGCAGTGGTCCCTGGGCCAAAATCTAGTTATTTCTCTTTGCAGAATATGAATTTGTTGTATTTTGGAAGTTGATCATAGAATCACAGAATTGTTTGGGTTGGAAGGGACCTTCAAAGATCATCTAGTCCAACCCCCCTGCTGTGGGCAGGGACATCTTTCACTAGATCAGGTTGCTCAAAGCCCCGACCAACCTGACCTTGAACACTTCCAGGGATGGGGCATTCACAACTTCCCTGGGCAACCTGTTCCAGTGTCTCACCACCCTCATCGTAAAAAATTTCTTCCTTATGTCCAGTCTATACCTACCCTCTTTCAGTTTAAAACCATTGCCTTGTCCTGTCACTACAGACCTTGGTAAAAAGTCGTTATAAGCCCCCTTTAAGTACTGAAAAGCTGCAATGAGGTCTCCCCGGAGCCTTCTCTTCTCCAGGCTGAACAACCCCAACTCTCTCAGCCTGGTACTGGTTTAGCTTTATTACATGGCTGTTAAGCTGTCACAGAGGAGCTTGTTTTTATTTTGAAAGGCCAGAAGTCACTCTTAACTTAAGGCTTTGGGAATTAAGAGAAGCATGCTTATTCCTCTTCCACACTGCGAGGACCATTCACGTCTGCTTTGGAACAGGTTGGAGAAACTGGCTGGTCAGGAGGGAGTCACTCGCAGTGCTGTGTTTGCCCTCTCTCCTGCCTTAACGTCCATGGCCTTTTTTCTTGTCTCTTTCTCTCCCAGCCGCTGCCAGGCATGTTTGTGACCCCCTGTGCTCAGACGTGGGCTGCTGGGGCCCTGGACCCTTCCACTGCTTCTCCTGCAGGTTTTTTGATCGCCAGAAGGAGTGTGTGAAACAGTGCAATATCCTGCAAGGGTAAGGTGTCTGGGGAGTGCTTGAGGTTTGGCGATGATTTGGGGGTTTGGGGTTTTAGAACATGTTGTAGCTAGGAAGAAAGGATTTCACCAGCTTTGCACAGATGTTGTGTGAGCACAGTATGTAAAAAGAGGGAAAAGCCGCGAGCTGAGGTAGCTCTCCTTCCCCATTCAGCATTGCTTAGGAGTTTGCTCCTGCCACGGTGACTGCCATGAAAACGTCCCCTCAAGGCCACGAGGAGACTATCTGAAGGCCCAAGGAGGCTAAGCCTTACACTTCCTTCCCCTAAGAAATAAAGGAGCTTAAAGCCCTCCATGAAAATCCAAGCTATGCCTGTCACGTCAAGCGCATCGGGCAAGAGCCGGAGCCAGTTGCAGTCACCAGGAGCTCAGTCACCCCCGGCGCCAGGGCTTTACTGCTCAGTAGGCTTCCTTACTGCAAAGGGACTCTTATATTTGCTCAAATGAGCGGCTCGCCCTTGCAATTTGCAAAGTTGCCGTCAAGGGACAAGGAGCTTTCATCCGAAAAGCACTGGGAGCAGCAATTTCAGGTAAAATTATTGCTTCGGCTTTGCTCAGGCCAAGGAAAATGTATTGCTGCCTGTGTGTCAGGACTGCAGCTCGGCTGGGCTTTTCAGTCAGTTCAACAGGTGATGTAGGCAGGAAAGGCACGGCTAGCACTGAAAATTACATGGATTTTTTAATAAATCTTTCAAAGTTTGACTTTTAAAAATCATGAGTGTTAAGCAAGTACTTGACAGGGTGCTGATGCCCCTGATGTTTGTATTTGTCTAGCAACTTGCAGTTCAGCAGCTGTCTTTTTCGTAAGTGAATTCCCTCCAGCAGCTATTATGACCTGAAGGGCAGATCTGGGCATTTTTTGTGTCAAATGATGAGTAGATTTAGTTTAATTAATAACACCATTACTTGAAGTGGAACAGCTTTATTGCTATTGAAACCATCTGTTCCCAACTTTCATATTTTAATGATTCATTATGTGTTGTAGGGAGGGCATGAATTTAATTATCAGTGCATTGCTGTTTAACTATCCTAATTATTATTTGGAGCCTTGGAATCACTTGAACTGTTTTTGCTGATCTCTTTGCATCACTACCATTTAAAAGCCTTTGGAAATCATTGCGAATATTCTGTGTTGTTAGCTTAAAAGGGAAAGTAAACTAATTTGTAGTGTGCAATCTGGAGTACCATGTGTTTCACCGTCAACCAAATTTCCCTTACTCTTACCTCTCCCTGGTTGCACTGAGCAAGTGCTACCGGTGTAACCAGGAGGGTCCCCCTGCACCTTCTCCTGTCTCAGTACCATCACCCCGATCTATTTAAACTGGAAAAGTCAGGAAAAAGAGAGACGACCACAATTTATCACTCGCTAATCAGCCTGTTTTTTAATTATTTCTCTTTTTTTTTTGTTTTCCAGGGAGCCGAGAGAGTTTGAAAGGGACTCCAAGTGCCTCCCCTGCCACCCTGAGTGCCTGGTGCAAAACTCCACTGCGTACAACGCAACCTGCACTGGACCTGTAAGAGCAGATTCAGCTTAGCAAACCTGTGCCTCAGACCGTGTATTTATGCGTATTTCCCGTGTTGAGATAATCCTGAGGTCTCATTTACCCTTCTCCGGGATGGAGTGGAGGTGGGGGGGTTAGAGGGCAAGATCTCGGAGCAGGGGAGCAGAAACAGGAGAGGGAACCTCAGGGTGTTATTTCGTTTTCATGTCACCCATCATATGTGTAATCCACAGTCACAGGCATTGCAGGGCCTTTCTTTTTTGTGTCTTTTTACAGAAAAAAATGTAAGGCTTACTTACATATGTGACGATATGGTAATTTGGTGAATATTTCAGGAACATGTAGTTACTGAACAGCCAAGTTGGTGTGAACAAATTATATTTCCTTATTCAGAGGGAAAGAACTGTTAAAAATAGTGGATTAAAACAGTAGCTTTTTGCCTTTTTGAAAAGCCATGATAAAATTGTGATCAAAACTAGATATTTACTGGAAAATATTCAGGAATCAGTTTTTACTTAAAACCATGTTCCCTCCTCTAACTAGATTACAGTAAACACATGTATTAAAGTAAATGCAGGTGTAAGTTATGTTCAAAGAAAGGCGATCAAAACAAAATGATTGGATTTTTAAACTTGTTTAAATATTCCAAATTCACACAAAAGCTCCTTCTGCAAAAGTCAATACAGTGTAGCCTTGCTAGTCATCCAGAGTCTTCCTCAATTTTGTTCTTCTTTAATTTTGAAAATACTCTTTTGCGTTAGGAAATGTCCAGTTTGGTAGCAGTGCAAAATTACTTCCCTTTAATCTGCTCAAACTCATATCTTAATTGTAAAACTCTAATTCTCTGGTTTTTTGAGTGGGTAATTGAAATCCAATCTCCTGGTTCCATCACAGATCCTCCTCTGTGTTCCTTACCCCAACTCTTTAAACACCTCTTGCCATCCCGTGCAGCTACTGAGCGTTCGAGCGCTGCCCATCATCAGTCTGCAGAGTTGCTGCTCAGTAATGTGAATCATTTCCATCCTCCCTTCTAGCTTAGACCACCATGACCTAAGGGATGTTATTAACATTATAATCTCCTTCAGGCGGTGACCACCCCTTTGTTCCATATTTGTCCAGCATCTAGTAATCAGTCTATTAGAGTGGCCCTTAGACATTACAGTAATTAAAATAATCTTCCTATAGCATATCTTACTGTACTCCCACTGAAACCAGCACTGTGGATCTGGTCTGGTGTTTCTCCATAGTAGAATTTGACCCAGAATTGCTGGTTTCCCTGCTTTAAAATATTTAGGGCATTCCTGGTGCTGTTATAGTCTGAATAAAAGCAGTTCTGCCAAAAATGGCCAAAGGCAATGCCTTTAAACACAAACTAAGTGCTCTTCAAAGTAAAAAAAAAACGCATGGACTCCTTGGGTTGCCTCCTAATCCCCTGCTTCTACCTAACAGAGGAAAGAATCTGTGCTGAGAAACAGGAAAATAATGATTTGAGGCCAGTACTTCAGGGAGGTGTCAGCAGGTCCAGCTCCATCGTTTTAAATCGTGTGATGGTAGATTGCACCAGGCAGCAGCCTGGCCCTTTGCTTTTGAGCTTACCCCTTATCAAGGTGCCATTAAATTATTCCCCGTTTTAAATGAAAAATGAAAACTTTCCAAGCAGACAGAAGGCAGGGAAAAAAAGCAGCAACACTGAAACTCAAGAAAATATTAGCTTTAAACATCAGGTACTGCCTTTTGTACAGTCCATCCTACAAGAGCAAATACTTGCAAGAATATCAGATAGCAAGGTAATAAAACCAGATGATGCTGAAAACTTCCATCGGTGGAAGGCATTTAGATTTATATTCTGAATTTCCTCCTGAATAGGCTGATGTAAGGGCATTATAAACACGCTGTTTCTCTTTGCAGGGCCCCGACAATTGCATGAAGTGTGCCCATTTTATAGATGGCCCCCACTGCGTGAAATCCTGCCCGGCGGGGGTTCTGGGTGAGAATGACACCCTCGTCTGGAAATATGCCGATGGGAATGCTGTTTGCCAGCTCTGCCATCCAAACTGTACCCGGGGGTGAGTAAAGCCTCGGGCTGAATGGAAACAGCCGGGGGGGTGGGGGGCTCATCTCGAGCTTTTTCCCTTTCTAACGGTCCCATTTCAAACCACCGAGAAGAAATAGCAGGGAGCGAGAGAGGTCAGGAGTACGCAGGTAACAAGCAGAGTGCAGCAGACTTTGTGAATAGGAAAAGTTCAGTGGCACTTCTTCTTTAGGCACTTCTTCTTTACACAAAAAAAAAAAAAAAAAAAAAAAAAAAAAAAAAAAAAAAAAAAAAAAAAAAAAAAAAAAAAAAAAAAAAAAAAAAAAAAAAAAAAAAAAAAAAAAAAAAAAAAAAAAAAAAAAAAAAGAGGAAAAATGTTTCAGGGGGTTTGAAACAGGTTTGTTTCTTGATTTAAATAGGAAACTTCCTGGAATTTTACAGAACTCACCCACCAGTGATGCACTTTCTGTTTTTTTCCCACCTGGCTTGGTGTTGGGTCCTCTGTTTTTTGGGAGGAACATCAGTGACATCTGGTGGATGCTGGGCTCCCGGGGCCCATTTTTCTCTGCACCTTTCATTTTTCAGGAGGGAAATCCCAGTGAGGTACCACAGTGATTTTCTTTCTTTCCTTCTTTCCATATGCTAGCACTTGGTCTGAGTTTCAAGCCTTGCTTGCCTCCTGAGTGTGGCTTTATTAATGGGTATCACGGTAAACCCAATCTGTATGAACCATTTTTGTCCTCGTTTGGGGGCACACTTAAACCACCACCTATATTGAGCTGTGAATTCAACTGTATTTAACCTACGTGACAATAAGTAACAGGGCTGCAGCTGTCTCCTCTCCTGGTTCCCAACCTGCAAAGGACACGGGATGTGCAGTAAGAGGTTTTAGGTTTTGAGACTTGATTGTTGGACTGTGATGCTTTCAGAGCAAAAAAACGACCCACATTTAGTATCTTTTTCTTCACAGGCTCCTACCCTGTACCCTGCAGGTCTGTCCAATCCAAAATCCTTCTGTAATATGCCTGTAATATGTGTTGCAAGAGAGAAGTTGTAACACTGGCCTCCAACTATATTGAGACCAACCATCATCCCATTGTATATTTAGCGAATTCAACTGTCAGGCCATTAAAGAGCAGAGTGCCCAGGCCCCTACCTTCATGGAGAAAAGGAGATGAAGGGTTAAAACAGCAAGTAACGGCCCTTCCTAGTGCTCGCAGCGAATTCAGTGCTCTGGTTTTCAGATGGTAGCTGCAACAGCCATGTGGGTTTGGCATGATTTACAGCGATGCACCCTATGTTTTGTTACAGTTGCAGGCAAGGCTTATCAGGGCTTCCCATCACACTCCTGAGAACAAATGATCTCAGTTGAAAAGGGATCTTAATAACTTTGCTCTTTATTAATGACCTCAATAGTCCCTACTGATACAAACTGGCCACAGGGATCCAACATCCTTCTTCTAACTGGCCACATGAAAACGCAGCTGATTATTGGAGCAGCATAATGGGTAACCACATCTGAATAAGGCTTTCAACTGCGCGGCCTCGGTAGCGAGATTAAACACTAGACTCGAATGCAAACGTGGAGAACATAACCTGCCAGACATGGATGTAGCTGCAAGCCACGCAGTGGCTCTTTGTGCACAAGCAAGTCCCCAGAGCAGAGTTCATCAGAAAAGTCCATTCCTGCCTGGCTTTAGCAGTGGGTGGGTATACCACAGGAGTCTGGCAGGTGACGGAGGTAGGGTAAGGAGAGGTTTTTGAAAGTTAGGGGTACCCAACATATGGCTCAGTGTATTTGGCCCTGTCTTATGAAGGCAGAACATAAAAAGTAGTACCAATTTCATCTCTTACGTGAAAGAACTGGGCTAAGTTTGCCACAGTTATATTGTGGACATGCTCAATGGCCCTGTTCGAGTTGCTGCCCAAATGCAGCAGAAGAAATAGGCTGTATCCCTGAAGAGCTCAAGAGAGCTAAGAGATGGTAGTGTTACTATTTTTGCTTTACAGATGGGACATCTGAGGCTAATGGCATTGATGAGTAGGGAGCCAGTGTCGGAGGCATAATCTGGGAACGTGCAGTCTGGCGCAGCGTTTTCCCTGTGAAGGCAATCAATCAGTAATGCCACTTACTTCTCTTCACGCCTTTCCCTTGTTGTGCTGCGGGAATGGGATCTGTTCAGCAGTGGGTGGAAAACATCTGTCTCGCAAAGTTTTTGCATCCTTAGAAACCACAGTCTCAGCGATTTCTGCATGACAAGAAACAACAACTTTATTTCTGTCCCTGTCCAATTTCATGGCTAGAGCCCACAAAATCTTATCAGCATGATTAAGTGCACTGAATTCAGTAGTCATGTAAGTAACGGTTTCCAGGATCTGGCTCTATTTTCCTTATTTGAAGAAGCTGCAAGTAAAGACGACTTCTCTTGCCAGCTGAGCTTTGTCACGAATTTTGGTTTTTTACTTTAGGTGTGCTTACTGGTAGTGCATCGCTTCCTCTGTATCGCCATGAAGAATCCCATCTAGGCTAATTTTCTTTGCTGAGTCATTTGTTCAGCCTTCATTAGAAAACAGAAGGGAGGTAGCTTTCTCCTGCTCAGACCAAAAGACCCCTTCTCTCCCATTTTCCCTGTAACTGCTTGGGGATTTTGTACACTAGCTTCCTTTTGCCTCTAGTACAGCTGAGAAAATACACTCCGATAAAGACAGCGACATCCCAAAAGCCCTGGAATTACCCCATTTATACCTCCAGCAACTAATGAAAGACACCAGCTTGATTAATCTGCTCAGCATTGAAGGATTTGGTTTTCCCTTGCCACTTTCCCAGAGCATGGGAATTAAATTCAGCCACAGTGGGGTAGAAGAGCAAGAAGGAGAGAAGCCACAACTGTAGCTAATAGCATTGGCTGACGCGTCCTGCCTCCACAGTCACTACCAACACTATGTGTCTCGCCAGTCTTCATGTTAAATGCCGGGGGATTTTAGGCAGGGGTGAGAAAGCGGCCGGGGGTCCAAGAGGGAAGATTGCAGCAGCTCAGTGCAAATGTGATGACTTTGTCACGCTCTGAAGGTTAATGAGAAAGAAAGGGCAGAGGAAAGTTCTTGTAAGGCTTTAAAAAGCCCAATGGCTTTCCATTTCTTTTATGACTGTGAAGTAACTTAAGGTGTTAAAGTGTGAGTTCCCTCTGAAAGGCCATAAATCATAGCAACTTGGCTGTATTGCATCAAATTAGGAGCTATGGGTTGAGGAGAAAGTTGTTAAAATCTTGATGGATTTGGGAATTAAATAGCTGTGTCTGCACTGGGACGAGTAATATTTACGTAGACAGATGAAATGCTGAGTTCGGGATGCAATAGTTTTCAGGGACTGTACACAGCACTAATTTTCCAATAAGTACAGAAATATTTCAGAAACTACAACTGCTGCTAGATTCCATCTGATATATCCATAAGATCTTGAGGCAGTTCATAACACAAGGTCACATTTGTCATTTTGGTTTCTGTAAGCAGAATAAAAACGATTCAGGAATGGAAAAAATGATTGTTTAGATTCCATAAAACCTGGGTCACTTATGTTGGGTGTCATCATAAAATTCCACATTAAGAAAGATGGTTATATTTAGTCCTGGATGGATATTTGTCATAGGCTTTTTTTCTCCTTTGACTTGTGAAATGAATCAGAAAATCACGTGGGATTTGAAAAGCACAAGCTGATCTGTCATTTTCTTCCCAAACACCTTTTTACTTTATCCCACTAGACTTGATATTGATGGATTTGTGTGGGAAATAATTTTAAAAAAGAAGGGGACAGATGAAAATCTACACCTCTCCTGCTTCTGCTTTCTGGTGTAGGAAAACAACTGGTTGGACATTCCTCAGACTGTAGATACTGTCCCCTCAGCCAATTTTTTTTGCTGTTAGGAAGCGCATGGAGGACTTGCCATCCTAAAGTAGCATGGCAAATTGGTATTTTTAGGAAGACATAATTTGAGGGACCACAGTCACATTCTGAAATGTGAGGTCTTTTATGTTCATAACTTTACCGGGAGAAGCTGCACATGTTTTGTTGCATTAGCATATAGAAATTCAGATCTGGGTGGTAGAGCATGATAGGATGAGGTCTTGGGTCCTAGATCCATTTTCTGTTGAGTTCCCAAAGAGAGAAGCCCAGTGCAAAGTGAGATACGTCTCCTGTGACCGTAAGCAAGCTGGTGGTTCCGCTCTGCACGTGCAGCCTCTCTGTGCTTACTTACACAACTGAGCAAACAAACCAAGCCGTAGGCAGACAGGGAACGCTAACAAAGCTGAGTGCCCCGGATCCAAGAACCGGTATGCACACAGCACTTCCAGCATGTCCAGGACACCGGGATGCACATTCTTGCATGGGAGCCCAGTGAACTCACAAGACCTTCCAGATGCTGGGTCTTGGAGCACTGTGTTGGCCCAGAAACAAGGCAAATACACGAGGGAAGATCAGAGTAATGAAAACAAACAAACAAGCAAACAAAAACCCAATAAAATGAGTAGTTGCTTCACCTCTTCCTCCCCCAGACCTAGATCAAGTTATGAGATAAGATCTGCAACTCCACCTGCCGTTTTGAAATTTTTCTGTTTCCTCCTCTCAGCGAGAGGGAATTCAGAGCAGTTTTCCTGGCACAGGCTCACTCCTTACCCCCTGCTTGACCTCCTCTGGAGTTGTTTTGGGATGATCCATTTTCTTTAGGTCAGTGCAGGGAGGAGATACCACAAACTGGACTTTTCTCCTTGCTGTGCTCTGTTTTTCAGAGGTGATGTAACCCTCTCTGTAATGCTCTCCTTCCTCAGTAGACACTACAAAGACCACAATTCCCATGAAGAGCATACATCTTGTAGCCCAGCAGCACTTAGGGAATGCACGGTGCCTCTCACACCCGTTAGACCATCAAGTTAATGCAGTCACTGTGTTTTCATCCATGTTGTTTTTTGCATTGGGCTGCCAAATTGAATTTCGGGCATTTTAAACTCAAATGGAGGGTGAACGACTTGCTAGTAGAGTTTCTGGCTCTCTGGATAACTGTCATAACCTGTTTACATTACCAGTAACATAAGACCTTAGATTCTGAAAAAAAAATGTCATGGACACATACCAACAGACTATAGCTGAAGGGAGTGCTGTCAAATCCTGTTTTCTGATGGGAGCGTGTATCTGCTACCCAAGTTTTCCATTGCAATAGAAAGTTTTGAAATTGGAATCTTTTACTTATCAGGAAACAAGGATTATGCAGGAGGGTCTGCAGTGACACGTTTCCATGTGGCTTTCTGCTCTTGTGCAGGGGAGAGGCTACTTCTGTCCTCCTCCACAGTCAGCCCTGAGCTTCTGTGCTAACACAGATGTCCACACAGAGCCAGGGAATGCAGGTCCATTTGAATTTTGTGTATCTATGTCCTCCCTCCATTCTACCACATGATAGAAAGTTGTTTTAAAATATTCTTTAAACTGAGTATGCAGCATAACTATGCCTCTAGATAAAAGATTTTGGAGCAAGGCCATTGACTGATATTTAATAGAGTGTATGACTATTATAAATTCCTATGTTAATACTTGGACTGCTCTGAAACACAAACTTTTCAATCAGTAGCACTCTTCTTAGTTGGAATTATGGAAGTATGTATGCCAGAGCTAATATGTTTGTAATGTTCACTTGTTTTTACAGGTGCAAAGGGCCAGGTCTTGAAGGCTGTCCAAACGGGTGAGTATTTCATCTGCTACAATTAACAACAGAGCTGGAAAGAATGCATGCATGTTTACATTTCCACACTGGACACTGGAAGGCTGGGACTAGAGTTAAGTCTTCAGCTCTGTACAGGGAAGTGACAGATTAGAGCAGGCTCCAACCTATAAAAATGATTTAAAGAACTGAGAAATATTCCTACTGGCACAAGACTCCAAAACCTTGCTCTGTTTAGCTTGTTTGTCAAGGTGAGACCTGGGATCTGTTACTGGAGAACAAAAGGAGGAGCTGGAAAAAGAAAGGATTAAGGGCTAGTGGCAGAGAGAGATATGTACAGGATTGATATGGTTACCTGCATTACAGGGGAGTCATCTCAGAGACCCAGGGGGTCTTTTCCAGCCCTGTGATCTGTACATCTCTAACTGCTCTGTGCACAGATGGGCATTCATTCTTCACACTAGACCTTACGTTGCACTGTTTGGCCTCATGACTTGCTCAAGGTCATGCAACAAGCAGACAGGCTTCTCTGATTAAGAGAAAGGGATTTAGTTTCTGGCCACAAAGTCACGCTATGGCAAGACAAATTCAGCCTAGAGGTACTGTTAAAAAGTGACTCTATCTAATAGTAATCCCTGGGGCAACTTAGAAAGAGCTGTGATGGATTTCTAAGTACAGACCAAAAAACAACCTTGGAAAACAGGTTTTTCTTTTCAACTTAAATTTGAAATGACCCAGGCTCTAATAAAGAGGCAGCAATCTGTACGTACAACGTGGATGGTTCATGCATTACCTGGCCTCAGACATTTGTACTTTGGGAGGAGGGCCGATGATCTGTTCATTGTAACCCTTACAGCATGCCCCCCCCCCAGTAAAGGTGAGATGTCAGCTTCATTGCTGGTATCACAACTGCATATGCCGCCTTGATATCACCTTCTCTCCACGTGCTTCGTGTATCTGATCACATGTGGGCTGCCCATGGCTGGCATATATAGACATCACAGATTTGATGCTCATGTGCTTGGTGGGTTTGTCAGAGAGAGGAGAAATCCCCTCGCTTAAGCTACGAGGATCAGCTCCAGTTACGAGTTTGAGAGAAGTGAAGACTTTGAGCAGGTTACTGGATGAGAAACTTAAAAATACAGATGCCCAAGATATCTGAAATGTCAAATAGGCTTAAGTGGATGTCCAAAGTGTGTGTTTGCTCAAAACCTAAGGCTTCATGGAACCTCTGTAGGGTTTTTTTAAAATCTTACACCTAAGCATTTTTTTCTCTTTCTGCATCCCCTCCTGTCTTGCAGCTCCCCCCCCCCACAGCATGCCCCCCCCCAGTAAAGGTGAGATGTCAGCTTCATTGCTGGTATCACAACTGCATATGCCGCCTTGATATCACCTTCTCTCCACGTGCTTCGTGTATCTGATCACATGTGGGCTGCCCATGGCTGGCATATATAGACATCACAGATTTGATGCTCATGTGCTTGGTGGGTTTGTCAGAGAGAGGAGAAATCCCCTCGCTTAAGCTACGAGGATCAGCTCCAGTTACGAGTTTGAGAGAAGTGAAGACTTTGAGCAGGTTACTGGATGAGAAACTTAAAAATACAGATGCCCAAGATATCTGAAATGTCAAATAGGCTTAAGTGGATGTCCAAAGTGTGTGTTTGCTCAAAACCTAAGGCTTCATGGAACCTCTGTAGGGTTTTTTTAAAATCTTACACCTAAGCATTTTTTTCTCTTTCTGCATCCCCTCCTGTCTTGCAGCTCCAAAATCCCATCTATCGCAGCTGGCGTTGTCGGAGGTCTCCTGTGCCTGGTAGTGGTCGGCTTGGGCATCGGCCTTTACTTGCGGAGGCGCCACATCGTCAGAAAGCGGACCCTGCGCCGGCTGCTGCAGGAGAGGGAGGTGAGCACCGCCGACACAGCTGTAACACCGGCTGCTTTATTTGGGGCAATGGGTGCCACCTCCTCGTACCAGAGAATTAAAGCACTATGTGTCTGCCTTGTAACTCAACAAGCCCTTGGGTTGGCAAACACATCATCTGCCGCGCTAGTCGGAAAAGAGGCGGTGTGCACCTAACACCTTCTCACTTAATCTCGTCTGATCCCTCTGGATATAATTTTCAAAAGCTTTAGGGGATTTAGATGTCTAAATCTGAATGAAAATAATTAAGATTGTCTACTCTGAAAAAACTATGCCTCCAGGGTGAGGTGCAATGTGTTTGCTGATCCATACCACCTTGCTGTGTAGACCCTCAGCCTCGAATCATTTCTCCCTCCAGACAAGCCTTGAGGCTGCTGTGGCAACTTGGGCGCTTTTGAAAATTTTACCCCCTTGATCAGGCGTATGTCTGATCCCGTGGAAAAAAATGAGAGAGAAAGGAGAGGAGGGAAAGGAATTGAGGAAGTGTTTGTGTCTTGTGTTCAGTTTGGTTTTAGCACAAAAAACCCACAAAGCCATCAAAGTGAATGGTTCACCCTGTTGGGCATGAACAAGGTTTTTACACTGCTTTTTCTTTTCTTTATGGTTTTGTGTGCGTTACAGCATCACCTTCTGGGTACCTCACATATAAAATAGCGAAATTCATTATCTTGGATTAAAGCCGCTCTTTTATGATTAGCCCCCTTCTCTTTCTAGTCCAATCCTAGTAAATAATTAGCAAATTGTATTTAGCATTCTGCTAAAAGCCCAGTTGCAGCTTCCCTTTTTGCTTGCTGGCTTTGCAAAGTCAGCTGCTAAAATCCTTAGAAAAAAAGCTGTCCTGCTTTTTAATGCATTACCTAACAATATTTTGCATACCACTGTATTCTACAGTTGTGATAGTAGACTTCAGTTTGTGCTCAGCTCATATTGTACCCTCTGGACTCCTCAAAATGAGGATATTTCATAACAACAGAAAGATTGCTGGCCCGCTAAAATCAGATTGTATCTAACTAAATACGGTTTTATTCAAAGGAAAGGAAAAGAAAGAGCACTAAGGGAAAAAGCTGACTTATGCATCAAAAAAGTGTTAAATATCTTTATTTGGAGGGCATTACTGCTGTTTTCAATAAGGCTTGGATCAAATTTTGAAAACATCGATAGTCAGTTCAACATCTCCTTTTTTATTGAGAAAAGAATCACTCTCAGAGTTTCAATTGCTGCTTGTAAACCCTGTGGTCTGGGGGAGCCACTGGTACCATGGGAATTTCATCCAGTTAAACAGGAGCAGACCTGAAAGGTTGCAGGTGATTCTTGCCCATTATTTAAAACATTTTTATAATTTATTCACAAGTTCAAAAAAAAATCTTCTTTAGGATCTGTGGTAATTACATTGTTCTTCATGCCATGTGTGTTAAGGCTTTGAAGTCAAAGCCTTCATTTGAACAGTTAGTATTCCTTCATTCTCCTTCAAAATGGCAGTCGCCACTCTCTGATTGATTTTACCTCTGAAATTTGGAGCAACTCTAGATATTTATTGCTGCAAGTCAGAGTGGAGCTGTCCTCCCATAAAATTCACGTGGAATAAAATGTTCATTATTTTAAAGGAAGGATTTATTTGCTTCTCCAAAGTGTGCTGCTTGCTGTCCTCCTAGACTGTATATCCTTCTAATGTCTTCTTTTCTCTGCACCAGCTTGTCGAACCACTGACACCCAGCGGGGAGGCACCGAACCAGGCTCATCTGAGAATTTTAAAGGAAACAGAATTTAAAAAAGTCAAAGTTTTAGGCTCTGGAGCTTTTGGCACTGTTTATAAGGTAAGATCACCATGTTTCTCTTCCCCTTTTCATCTTGCTCCCTCATCCAGAAGCCACCCAAACAAAGCATGAACTGGGAGCTGCGATCATTGTGTAGATTTTTTTTTTAAACTAGATTTTATAGTATGTATATATTGAATGGTAGGGAGATGACTCAATCATCATTAGTTGAGTTATGAATCGGGTAACGTGGGAAGTTTTACATAAGATGTTGCCAAAGCCATACTGCTGAACCTGGAGGACAAAGATCTTGACTTTAAAACTAACACAGCCAAATATACCCTGTTGTGAATATTAGGAAAAAAAGAAATGCACTTTGGTCAGCTCAGTGCTAAGCCATTTTTCTGTGTGGTCTGCAGTCTTGTTTTTATAATTGTCAATCACTCTTTCATTAGAACTGACTCAGATACGTGGAAGTGTCTACACACCTTCAGTTGTGTAGGTCCACAAGGTATTTTTTCTCTTGGTGTTTGTTTATCCTCTGTGTTTCTTCTTCACCAAGTTCCACTTTTCTGTGCTCCTCCTTTTATTCAGGATATGTGTTTCAGGCTTTGCCAGTAGTACTGAAATATAAACTGTAGATTCATATCTCTCTATATAAAGCTCTATATTCTGGAGCAGGCTTCCAGCTGTGGCTAGGAACTTCAGGGCACAAATCCCATTGACCGCTGAAAATGTGCACCTACATTGCTGGGTACTTCAGCAGAGTGTCCTCACAGTGCCACGCTGTTCACCTGCCACCTAAATGGCCTCCTGACACTATAGAAGTAGAGCACTGAACCAGTTGGACATAAACCTACCTGACACTGCATACGTTTAGGACTGGGTTATTTGTACAGTATAGATGCCATCTTGTTTTCCTGAGAAAATGCCAATTCTTTTCATTCCATGATTTATAAAGTGGAAGTGGCAAGGTTCTGCACATGCAGTTGCTGTAATGTGCCAATTAGTTAGATTTCCATCCGCAAAAGTTGCTTTTTATGCATCTCTTGGGCTATTTATACAGGGACAGTAATGAACGTGGTTTTTCAAAAAAATATGGTAGAGGTGACTGAAAGAGAAATACCACTCACTCCATTAACAGGATTTTGTTAATGCCCACAAGACACGTTTTTTGCATATTTTTGTTGTCTGCCATGTCTTCCCATTGCTCAGAATATTTAAGTCTACTCAGAAGATGTAAAATGTATATGTAATTGTGAGAATTAACCTGTTAGATATAAGACTGAGTAACTCTTGGTACTTCTTTTTGGTAGGGACTTTGGATCCCAGAAGGGGAGAGGGTTAAAATTCCTGTTGCTATTAAAGAGTTGAGAGAGGCTACATCACCAAAAGCCAACAAGGAAATACTTGATGTAAGTTTTCATGTTTGTTTTGTCAAGTTGTCAGTGGTCTGTGGATTTTCCTCTGTAACAACTAAAGGGATTTCAGGATTTTGGGTGGGAAGAAATATTTTGCACCCCAAACTGTATTCTCCATCTAGAAGTACTGGGCTTTGCAGCCCAGTCTGTGAAGTGCTTTTGTGTCTCCTATGAACCCCTTGCTCGCAGTCCAAATACTGATGTTATACTCGTGGGGTAGCACTCAAGGAGAGGTCAGGACCATACATTTACAGCTAATTCTGTTTTCTTTATTCTGATGTTTCAGGCCTTAAACTGTGGCATTCATTGCCATTATGGCAGTAGAACTAAAACCAATAACAACATATCTAATGACTTTTGAATCCTGACATTGCAGATTGTCATAAGCTAGTTGCTTGGTTACATAGGATTAAATTAACTATAAATCCAAAAGAAAAAAAATACCCCAGCTGCCTGATTTCTCTGCCATGAACAGCAAGAAATTATCTCGCTTCCCGAAAGAGGCATGGGAATTTTATTCTCTTGCTTGGATATAGCTCATCACTTCAGAAGACAGGGGAAAAGGCTATGGGACATTATTTCAGGAGTTTATAAATGTGTGAGTTTACAACGGGTGAGCCAGAGTCCTAAATACAAAGTTCCCTGAGTTTGGAATAGCTAAAAATCTGAACTCTGTCACTAGGTCTGAAGCCATACAACATAAAGCACCAAGGATATATATTTATATATGAGGAAAGGAAAATGCTGAGCGCAGAGAGGAGCACTCAGATGTTCAGTATATGTTCAGTTCAGCTTCCCTGTGCTGCGGTTCAGTCCTCAGCGACAAGAAACGCATTGCGTGTGTGTGTGTGTGTGTCCTGTCCAGCCCTTTGAGCCCTGAGCTGGAGCCTGCTGGGTCACTCTGGAGGACTGGTCAGCCCAGGGACTCCCCAAGCAACACAGTGTATTTGGTACAGATGAAGTCTTTAAGCTTCTCCTTGTTATACCTGCATGAGTGTGCGTCTAGAAAGCGTAGGTTGGAAGCCTGGATTTGGCAGGGGCTCATCTATCAAGTGCTTGTTTGCAGGGACAGGGCACACGTCCCTGGTACATCCCAAATGGACCTGTGAAGTGCAGGTCCACAGCTTGGGACAGCCTGTTTGCATGGAAGTAGTGGTCCTTCAGCCATGGGGAAAAATGTGGATTTTTTTTTTTTTTATTTTGGTAGGAACTGAAACACTTCAGCAGGAAATTTATCTTAAAAAAAATAATAATCCAGCTTTGGACAGCAAATGACACCTCAGGTAGGAAGGCTCATCTCAAATGGTTCAAGCTGGCGAAGATCTTAACAAAAGGCCAAGTCTCATAGTGAGAAGTGTCAGGATGAATGGCTGTGAACAAACCTACCTGTGCTACTGATGGTGATAAAGCACACTGGATTTTTCCAATCACCCTGAATAAACAGCGTTATTCCAATACATTTCTTCAACAGATCGTGTGTTATGTACCATATGATTTGATACGTGTATTGCGGCAATGCAAAAGAATAGGTGGTCCATCTCAGAATCCATACACAAAGCAATTCCATCCTGATTTAATTTAGTTAGACTCCCGGCCAGTCTCAGCCCTTCCCCAGGTCTCCGACCCCTGTGACCCTGGTCCCTGCCCCTCGCCTGCCTGCGGGCAGGCTGCGGTCCCTCCCTTCGCTGGCATTCCCCACACTGAGGAGCTGGCAAAGATGCTGCTCAGCTGCCTGCCCTGAGCTCTGCTCCTCGTTTCCCTCTTCACAGTGATAAGAGGGAAACAGTCTTTGCAAAGGATGCTTTGGACTTAACTGCATTGAATTCCTGTATACTGAAGGAAGGGTTAATAAATAAGCCTACAGTACTGCATCCTGCCTTCAGCAGATCAAGATATTCACACGACTGAGCAGTAGATGCAGGGACCGTGCGCTCTTCGGTGGTATCAAAGTACTTTCTCTTTTCAAAGAAGTTTCTGTATCATATCCCCACATTATCTTTTCTATTCCGTTGAATTAGGATGCTTAACAAAAAGCTCTTGATTTTTTTCAGTCCTGTTCATTTTTCAGATGATTTGGTTGGTGGAATTCATTCTATATTTCAGAGGAAAATTGAAAAAAATATAAAACCAGTGAAAGAAATCAGAGGGATGACTCCGAAAACTCCTCCCAAAACAGATTTTTGCTACACAACCAACTTTTCAAGGTCACTGAAACCTCAGAGATAATAATGTCCAATTAAAGATGATTCGTCTTACAGAAACATGCTAGGTATAGAACAAGCGCAGCAGCTTTAGCTCATATAATCCAGGCGAGCTCTCACTGGCTTTATTAAGGTAGGGCTAATTCAGAAGATTGTTGTTGAATACCAAGCATACTTGGAGCAGGTCAGAGCGTACCGCAGAGATTTCCAAGATAAACAGTTGAAACAAAGGCCTGCTTCAATGTCTTGGGCTACTTAGAGGGACCCACGACCGCAGAATAGCTCCCTTCTGCTCCCTGCAAGGAGGCAGTGGCCTATTTTACTTTGCAGTATCAAATGTAACAGGCAGCATCAACACTTGGACGCTCTCCGAAAGCTGTGTGGCCCGTACACCCACCCCGCTCTTCCAGCATCCCAGTTCTCAGCCCCCAGGTCAGTCCTGCGCGGGCTGTGCAGCAGATGGGCAGTGAGAACAGCTCCGACTCTGCAGATTCCACACACACCCCGTCCCCCGTCTCCCCCCGTCCCTGCTGAAATGAATACAATATGGTTCTGAATCCCAACAGGAAGCAAGGCAAGGAACAGGCCCGTCATTGGTACGACGGCTCGGTTTGGAAGCCTAGGGAGATTTAGCATGTTTTGGTCTCTACTTAATCTGAGCATCGTATAGTGGATTTGCAAGGTTCTCTAAAAAACACTGCCACAAGTATCTACATAATTGAATAGCACATTGTATTCTTGCTTTATCTTTCTTCGGGCTAGCCTACAGAATCAGTGTTAGCCTTGACAGAGGGTTGTTTTTCAATGCCCTGTTCACATCCTGCAGTAGGTTGAGGAGCTCTTACCCAGTTCTGCTGGAGATCTTCTTTAACCTGGCTGTCTGCAGACCACTTTAATCCCAGAGGCTCCAAAACAAGGACACCAAATGCAGAATTAGCACTGCAAGAAAACTGCATTACATCATGTTTTGCTTAGGCTGGCACGTCGAACAACAATACCAAGGCCAGAAAGTATTACTTAAGAATTGGGATTGCTTACTTCTTGAACATCATTGCTTTAATAACTTTGTTTAATAATAGTTCTTACCGGCTACACAGCTATGTGACGTCTGTGGAAAGCTTGTTAGATGATGAGTAAAGTGCTATGGTATTTCATTTCTTAAGCTCTTAGAAAGTGCAGATTTGGTCCTTTCCCTGCCACAATAGTGGCCTGACTATTAGTTTAGGCTTTGGGGGACTGCTAGCCTAATGTTGAATTGCCAAGGGATGATTAGTTGGTGTCATTTCAGATGCTGACCTAAAAGCTCACTGCATGGAAAAATTCCCATTTATTTCCCATTGTGTTGGTTTTCAGTCAAACGGCTTTAAAAATGTCTGGAAGTGAAATACTGTAAATCAGACACAACAGTAATTTAAAAACCCACAACTTCAGCTGTAATTTTTTCCCCCTATTGGAATCCATTCTTTGAGCTTGCATTTGACACTGGATGTCAGTATAAATATAGATCTCAAATTTAAATCCGTAAGTAGTTTTTGCATGCAAGAAACATGAAGTCAGGGGTTTTTACCCTGTGACCATGTTAAAGGATGTATTCAGTGTGTCTGGAGCGTACTGCACCGGCCTCTGAAGGGGCCTCTCCCTTCCTACAGAAGAGCAAAGGAAGAGGAGGTACCTTGGGCACCTTAGATAGGTACCTAAAGCTACATAGGGTGAACCCAGGCTTGAAAGAAGAGTTTTTCACATATTTATGAAACTCAAACCCAAAATTCCAGTTGACGAAAGGGTTTATTATGGTTATTATGCTTAGGTTCCCACATTGTATCATTTGCATTGCTATATGGGTCTAAAACAGCTTTTCCAACTGGGGACAATATTTTCACCAGTGTTGCTTAAGGTAAAAGACATGTATTCAGACTTCTAAAGAGGCGAACTGATTATTAACCTGTTTGGTTTGACATGGACTGAAGAACAACATGGTCAAAGAAACCTTGTCTCTTAAAAAGTCAAACTGTCAGTCCCATCCTAGATGACAACTTTTGACTTTCTGCGTTAGTACTAACCCTGACAAAGGGACAGAGGTCTCAAAAGTACCAATTTCCAGTCAGTTTTGTGAAAAGATTTGTGGAGGAAAAAACGCCTTATGACACATGTTCACAAGATGTGTTGCCCTTGCAATTAGGTGCTCAAAATGATGAAATCCCATCAGCTTCCAGCTGATGTTCAATTTATTAATTCCTCCTAGGTCTATAAGTTTTGTCCCCAGGATTTTATGTCCCATGTTTGCTTGGTGTACCAGTTGTGGGAGACTGGTTCTTCTGTGGCATCTCAGTGACGCTTCAGTGTTCAAAATCTGGACCTTCCACCGAGTGGAAAAAACTTGGTCCACAGAGTGGGAAATAGAAGTTATTTTGTATGTGAAGGGCACAGAGTTTACATATAGTATTTTAGCAACCTCTTGTATGACCAACTTATTTTATACTGCCTCCAGACATTTCTGTCATGCCAAAGGGAGTATTTCACATTGCTTTTTTTCCTTTCTTCTCAGGAAGCTTACGTGATGGCTAGTGTAGACAATCCTCATGTGTGCCGCTTGTTGGGAATCTGCCTCACTTCTACTGTTCAGCTCATCACACAGCTGATGCCTTACGGCTGCCTCCTTGATTACATCCGAGAGCACAAGGACAACATTGGCTCCCAGTACCTTCTCAACTGGTGTGTGCAGATTGCAAAGGTAAGCGGACTGGCACACCGCCAGATCAGCTAAAACTCTTAACTCTAACAAGGAGATCTGACAGCACGTAATGTATTTATTTACTTGTCTCTGTAAGTCTTTATGTTTCACCACATGGTTCCTATACCTTATACGTGACAGTAATCGGTTACTTTGTCTTAAACAATTTACCATTTTCAAGCTGCTGTGCAAACCTTAACTGTTCTTCAAAATACTCCTAGACAGCGTAATATTATCACCAAGGCATTTATGTCCAAATCAAAGACCCTGTAATGAAACGATAATGTGATGCAACAAAGCTGTGGCAGGGAAGGGAGCAGAAGCTGGCAATTGCCATACTGAAGTGCTGCTTCCATCAATCAGTGGATTTCTTTGGGCTGTGCCATGGGGCAAACAGTGACGTTGTTGAATACACCTTCTGGTGTGCCTCGGATTCCGGCTGAAATCTCTGAGGCCTGGGGATCGAAACTGCTGATTAATAAATACCAGCTCCGTTCTAGCACAGGCTGGCTGTGACTGAAAGACATTCAGGCACCCAGGGCTGTTCTGTAATTTATATGCACTGAGTTGGTGCCTGTAATCTAATTGCAGTGGCCGTAGTGCCAAATAAAAGACTCATTATCACACCTGGCACTATTTGCCAAAGAGAAGAGCAGCAAAGGAGACTGAAGTACAGCCTCTAGCCCTTAGCAAGCAATATGCTGTGTTTGGAAGGTGGTTAGCCATTTGCAAGCATGGAAGAATGGAGCAAAACCAGCAAAAAAATAGCTGCAGTTTGTTGGAGATTTGTCGTATGAGACAGCAGTATCCGCAAAGCCCGGCTGCTTTAATGCTCTTATTTCAGGAATGACGGTCTGCAAGCTAACCACACACTTACAGCCTTATCGGTCCCTCGAGACCTTGTATACATCCCAGGCTTGCCCGGCCGTGGTTTACTTTCAGGAAACATGCTGAGGACCTCAGAAATGTATCCACCAAAAGTATACAGAGCACATTTTTCATCTCAGTGCGTCTACTTTTTTACAGTGCGCTCCACAGCAAGTGAATTTTAATTTATGCATCCCCCCGGGATGTGAACTGCCTTGTTCTGATTCTTTTGCTCTCTTGTTTAAAATCAATTACTGCTCTGTCCTGGTTTCAGTCCCTTTGGAAGATGAGCTGGAGGCCACATTTCCCTCCTCCTCCTCCTCGTTAATTTTTAAGGTGGCAAAATCTGTCCCCAAATTGATCCTTGGGGCATCACTTGCCCGAAAGGTTGCCATTCACAATTGTTATCTCCTGTTTGATTTTTTTCATGTCGGTTCAACATTTGCCCATAGCAACCTCTACACTCTCCAGCAATGCCTGACCTTCAGCATACTCCTTTGTACTGTTCCGCACTGAAGTTCTCCTCAAAGTGCTCATAAATCACACATACGGCTTTTTCCCACCAATGTGTCTGGTGTTACTACTCTGATAAAGTCATGCCAGATTTTTGGACTTTCTCTGACTCTTTAAAAATGTACTTTTGGAGGGAGGAAAAAATTGAAACATATATTTATGTCTGGTAACTACCCAGCAGGAGGCAAGTTCCCTGGGAAGCTTATTTTTGTTTCTGTTTTCACAGCTTTGAATTAAGTTTTCTTTGCATCTATAAACATTATCTTTCTCTGAGGAGAAAGACAGGAGTCCTGTCTTTCAGACAAGATGTTATGACAGAGCATAGACACTCCACATGCAGAAACACTGTGAAGTAACTCTTTGAACACATTGGTCTTATACTTAATGATGAAAAATGGCTTAAATCCCAGGCCTGCACACAATTATAGATCTGCTGAACTTTCTGGATGAGCAGTTCAACATCTTCAGTGTATGGTTATGCACGTGCACGAGTCTTTTAGCTATCAGCGTCTTAAACAGCTTAGTGTGAAACTGATATTCTGCCTTTCAGCAGCTTTGAGTCTTAATAAGTCCCTGCAGCAAGAAATGTTTAGCAGGAAATTTTTTGTCCTACTGGGGCTAGATTATGTGATTTTTTTTTAAGATAGTCTGCTTTCTGTCGGCAGCTCAAGATTTTTTGTTTCAAGAGCTCTGCTCACTAAAGATCTATTTGTGTAATTAAATGCACAGTCATAGTGGCATTGTGCCAGTTTGTTTGGGTGGTTTGTTTTGGCAACATTAGCAGTGCATGGGTGAAGTTCTGCTGGGGGACTTGGGTGGAGGATTCGATGGTGGTCCAGGTTAGCAGCGGGCTTAGGAAAGGGGTGGAGGCTGGAAGGGAATTATTCCCTCCAGTGCTCTGTCATCACATCAACATGATCATTTTGGTGTTAACTTTGTAGGTTAGAAGTACTTTCTTATTAATTCTCTCTTCATAAAAATACAAGCGCATAAGCTGCCGCCAGCAGAAACCTATCGACTGGGAATAATTGTGGTTTTTAGAAAGGATCTTGCAGGAAACTTAGAAATCATTAACTTTTTGATTCCATACACCAGGAGATTGGAGTTGAGGGAAAGAGGAATAATCTCTGTGGTCAGAAATACAGCTGTTAGATTCAAACCTTAAAAGTCAAACCGACACAATTAGTTGTATTCTTCCACGAGAGGCAGTTGTACAAAAAAAGCTATGGCAAACCCAGTCTAATGATGGGAGGCAGTGAAACTGGAAGAACTTGCCTTTTCAAAGAGGACTTGAAAATAGATGCAACTCTGAGCTCAGCCATGAAGTGAATTTTTTTATTTTATTTCTTTTTCTCACCTTTGCGGTGGGATGCCTCATTGTTATAGCAGGGAGAAGGCAGAGTACACTGTAATAAGATGCAGAATCAGCAACTTTGAGCGATTAATTTATATTTCTTGGACTCTCCCAGGCCATTAGTGTCTACATACTCTCTGTAGGGTTGGCCTGTATGTGTATGAATAATTAAATTCTGCACTGTGCTCTCCTGAAGCCACTGGTGTTGCACAAATGCAGCTGAAAGAAGGGTTTGCTCCCTTATTTGCAAGTCCTATCCCAATTTCCTATTTCTTGAACTAAATCACAAAGGAACCGTGTTCCCTGCTATAGCTGCTACTATCCCTTTTTTCTCAATGACTCCACTGGCACATGGACCCACAAGAAGATTCCTGGAGGGTAATAGTTACTTCTCCTTGTAACTTTGCAAGTGCATGTCCTCACCCTGCCATAAGCATCACATAAATCAAAACAGCGAACCTTTTTCTGAAGGAGGGATAGGTTACCACATGTTTATGTGGTGGTGTGCGTACAGTTACCGCAGAGCAGCTGACGTTTGGTAACTCGTTTCCACGTCCAAGCCGAAAGCGTGTGATGCCTACCCATGGTCTGTCGCACTGCAGGGAATGAACTATTTGGAGGAGCGTCGCCTGGTGCACCGTGACCTTGCTGCCAGGAACGTCCTCGTTAAGACTCCTCAACACGTGAAAATCACGGACTTCGGGCTGGCAAAGCTGCTCGGCGCCGATGAGAAGGAATATCACGCCGAGGGAGGCAAGGTAAAGCCCATCGGAGAAATGAACCACTGCATGTTCGTCAGTGTTTGTGCTCGCGCATGAGCCTTAAACACAGGGAAAAAAAAAGGAGAGTGGGTTTTTCAAAGCGCTCAGCTGCCGTCTCAGCATGCTGCCTTTGAAGCCTGTGGGAGTCCTCTGAAATCAGCCGAAGCAGTGTCAGGCCAGTGGGACTGCAGTGGGAGTGGAGGTAGCAGAGCAGCAAATGCTTTTGAAATTCCCACCCAGAATGTCTGGGAAAAAGCAAGATTATTAAAAAAACATTAAAAAAAAAAGCATGGCTGAATTCATCAGTGTAGCCAACACCAATAACACTGTGCAGTTTATGAAGAGAAAGGGAATGCTGTATATTTATAGCAGAAGAAAGACCTGTCAGACTTGGTTCAACACGCCTTCGTGTTGTACTACGTGCTGATGGAGGGAATGTGTCCTGCTGAGAAATTAAAGAGAAGCTGCTTGCAAATAGTGCAGAGACCATAAATGGAAACCATATGAGCGCAGATCAGTCTTTGTCATACAGCCTGAGATCGGATTTGTGTCCTGTTATGATAGGAGAAGGTTAAAAAAATAGCAATTTGACTGTTAAAAATATTGTAAAACTAATTTGTAAGAGATAGTTCTAATATGCCTAATACTTCACAAGTTCCCAGGTTCAACATAATAAATGAAAATAATGATAAGGGACTCAAAAGTTGCCTGTTCCACCACTCGGGTAGTTGTATTGTTTGCTGGTTGTTTTTTTTTCCCTTCTGCAACCAACTATTGGTTTAAACACCACCTGGTGGTAAATATCACTGATAAATTTTGGGTCAGCCTCTAAGGCTTATTTGTGAATTTTCCTAGGTTCCTATTAAATGGATGGCCTTGGAGTCAATTTTACACCGGATTTACACTCATCAAAGTGATGTCTGGAGTTATGGTGAGTCTAAAACCAGTTATAATTATTGCAGATGGGTTGGAAAATTGCAGGATTTGCTAGTGACTCTACACAGACCTTTTTTCTTCCTATTATGAGAAGACTGAGAGATTAAACATAAACAATGGGCCCAAATCACCTATTCAGTAATGTAAAATTCCCATGAAATTGCATGCTGGTGAGGTATAAGATGTTTTGCAGAATAAGCTTTCAGATGATGAGCCCCCCCTGAAAGGGGCTGCAGGTAGGAGACTCTGCTCCATTTGTTGAAGTTCCGCTGATGCTTTTCTTCAGCAACTTCATGTAAAATATAACTGGGCTGACAATAAAGCCACGTAACTAGAGGGAGGACTTAAAACCACTTGCCACGCTGTCGGTCAGTGTCAATCAGTGTAACTCTGCTGTGGCCTAAAATGTTTGTGCTGTCCTGGTATTGAGAGGACAACACTAAAAGGGAAGCAAAGTGATAACCTTCTTAGAGAATTCATTTTATATTTGGTATAGTTCATAAGCCAGCTTGAAAGAAAGAGGAGCAGAAAGGAAACTTTTCAAGGCAACTTATTTCAAAATTTCCACTCCAAGGCCTCTTATATTCCTAAAAAATATTTAATGCAGATGGTCAGATCCTGTGTCCTGTTAGAAAAAGTACAGCTTTTGGTCCTCTTAATCCATTTATGTATCTTGGCATCCAAAATCTTGTTTTGTATCCTAAGCTACCAGACAATCACAACAGCTACATCACAAGAGTACATGGACACTGAGGCAGCTGGTTTACACATCTTTCAAAAACTGCTTTTGCTCGTCTCCGAAGAGACTGTTTTGAAACAAAAATACAACTTCCATTTTTAAAGCCACTTGCTGGGTTGGAGTCAGGAGGCGGTAACCTGCATTACCTTTCTATGGGGCTGGGAAGTTTGTGGGATGTTTAACACTGAGATACTAGCTGAGAGTGAAAAAAAACCCCAGAATACCACAAAAAAACAAAAAAATTAAATCAGGATGATTTCAACCTGTTTTATTAATTTGTCTCTCTTCAAAATCATGGCAGAAAATGCTTTTCCTGGGTGGGCCTCTGGCAATGCAGTGCCTCTGGGAAAGCCCTCTCCACTCACCACCTCTCTGCACCCAGGCCAAGCATCCCGGCTCCTGGCAAAGCCTCTCACGGTCTTCTCTTCCCACCCTGCAGGTGTGACAGTTTGGGAGCTGATGACATTTGGGTCCAAGCCATACGATGGGATCCCCGCCAGTGAAATCTCCTCTGTCTTGGAGAAGGGCGAGCGTTTGCCCCAGCCCCCCATCTGTACCATCGATGTGTACATGATCATGGTCAAATGTGAGTTCACATTTGGGGTTGTGGGCGCTCACCTAAGTCGAATAAGTAGCACAATTGCCTTCGTTATGTCACATTTGTATATGCTGTCTTCTTGGTGATCGCACAGAAATAGGGTTATGTGAAAAGAGTGGTGACACCAGAGTGTGTTCCCACACCTTGAGCTTCAGCTAGGAGCATGGGATATGGTTTCATTAGTCGCTAATTCAGCCAACTAATGTTTTTTCACCATTCACACCACTGGCTGATATTGTCAGTTATTTTAAACTGATATTGTCAGGCAGTATAAATCAGCATAACACCACCCACTTTACTTGATACCCTGGTTTTGTATGTTTAGAAAATAAAATTAACACTGCCTTCTCCTCCAGGCTCCCCCTTAGTTCAGTAATACATATCCCCCTGCAATCACACACACGGATTATGTGCTCCTTTTACTAAAGGACTGCTGTGAGCACAGGCACCACCATAATGGCAGATGCACATGAGGATACGGAGTTCCTCATCCGATTTCTTCCTCATTTTTGGATGGCTCCTTTTTGGCACACGGCTGTTGCTGTAAAGTAGCACAGGAGCTGGGGGTCTCTGAAGCACTTTTTGGTCATTGTTAGGGCACATCAAAGGGCTTCTGAAGCCCAAACCCCTTTTCCATCTATATCAGCTGCTAAAATGTCAGATTATTACCTGGCTTCCCATGCATCTCTAGACCATGACTGCCGCATCCCTGCTCACTACCAGTAGTGTCTGTGAGGATGCTGATAAGAAGCCCACTAGGTGGCATTTAAGACCTTCTCACTGGAGCAAAATGTACGTGTTCCTGAAATACGAGCCACACTACCATGAACACCCCATAGTGCAGCACTTTTGGGGAGCCCTGGAGTGCCCCAGTGTTGCTTTGTCAGGACAGGCACCGCACAGGGAGAGCCTGATCCTGTGCTCACCAGAGCGAGCAGGAACAGGATCCAGATGTGTGCACCTAGCCTGGGAGCTGCCCAGACCCAAAAGCAGTGTCCTGGAAACTCCTCCTCAGTGACGCTGAACCCTACTGACACCTCAGCCCTGCCTCTCCACTTGCAGCAGTCATGTCCCAGGTCTTTGAAAGCTCTGCACTAGAGCATGTGCTCAGGGACTGAGCCTTTGCAAAGCTCAGCAGCTCTATCCATTGCCCTTCCTTTGGGTCAGTCCAGATGTAGAAAGCAGGCATTTTTCCAGGCACCTAATCAGGTACCTGTTGCTTTTAAAACACCACCAGTGGAGCGTCCCCATCGCCTTTCATACCATTACACTGAATTTAAACTCAAGAACATGAGGATCTGGGGTTTTAGCCTTCCTTCTGCCACAGGACTCGGTTGCACGTCTTTCACTGCTCTGATCACCCTGTGTTTGCAGGCTACAGCACAGGCCCTGTTGAAGCTGCGCCATTTTGTCTAAAGGATTTCAGGATTCCCAGTCATCTCTTTTATAAGCAGAGAGTATAAACTGAAATGTTCAAAGTTATTGCACAGCAATTTTTATTTTTTTTATTTAAGAGGTAGTATTTAAACATATGCAACTCAGAGATAAATTCAGAAATAGTAGATGCTACTTCTGCAACAGCAGCAAACTCCAAATGCTCCACTCTGTCTAAAAGCAAAAAGGATTTCTTCTTGAAGTAGCAGGGCATCATATTTCTAGCATGGTAAAAAGTCACTGGCAATGATGAGATTTTGTCTAATGCAGAATTTTCATATTATCACTTCATTTCTCCATTACTATGGATAGGCTGTTTCTTATGAGTTCCTCCAGACACACTAAGCTTGACCTTTATTATTTTTAATTTTAAACACAAGAGTCTCTACATCAGCTCATCTATATTTGAAATCTCTTCTAGCATTGATCCACACTAAGCTGCAGGACTTGTTTTTGTTAAAGTCCATTTACTAATTAAATACAGCTTAGATATGGTTAATCTTTCAAATCGTCCCCAGCGAGGATGTTTTGAATTTTAGAAGACATCTGGTACAGAGGGTAGCTTCTGCTTTAGGCTTCCCAGGATGTCACGAAGCAGTGCAGTGAGGACTACACGGTCAAATCACTGTACATCTTCAGGCAGCCGCTGAAGTTAGTTTGCTTCCCGTCCTTCAAGAGCTTTTTCAGAGCAGCCTAATTTGGACTGATCCAGGCTGGCCACCCATTTGGTATCCTCAGGACTCATGCATTATTATCACTCAGGTGGGACCTGCCTGCCCAAGCGGAGATAGGCCAGCAGGAGAGGAGACAGGCTCAGCCTGGAGCTTTTCCAACATGGGGTTTTATTACCTCCTTCATTCTTCCCAAAACTGCCAAGATGTGCATTTTAAATGCTGAAATTCACAGCAGTGGCTGGTGAATGAACTTTTTGTGGTGGTCCCTTACGGGTAAATCCTTAACAGCATGTATGGTGCTGTTCTTTTCACTGTTACATTTTATTTTAAGCTCTGTGTTTGATCACCAAAACAACTTTATTTGTGCGTTGCTTTCCCTGTCGTCCCTCCAGGCTGGATGATCGATGCAGACAGCCGTCCCAAGTTTCGCGAACTGATAGCGGAGTTCTCAAAAATGGCCCGTGACCCCCCACGCTATCTTGTTATACAGGTACTAAACCCAATGGTAGGAAGATGTCTGATGGGCATTTAATATGAGGCCCAAAATGATTAGTAATGCATATGAAAACATATAATATGGATAATTTAAGGCCAGATTTACCTTTGCTTTCCAGCTCTTAACACATTCAGCTAGAACCAAAAACAGAATTTCAAGACCAGTCACTATTTTCTTAGTACTGGTCCCAGTCTAGGACCAGTAACAGTCCATACTGCAGTCCTGAGAGGAGAACAGAGTTTGATCCTCTTCAAAACGCAGATATTTTACAGCAGCATAGACAGAGGTTGCAGGCCCAAATTCCCCTGAACTCTAGGTAAATTTGGTTAAACACACAGATCAAGATTTTACATCTTGGACCTCTCACTAAATTACTTTGTCTCTCAGAGAAGGGGATAATGAGGGCTTGAAGGGAGTCTGCGAGTCCTCTCTCACACTGACTTGTCTCACAGGGAGACGATAGGATGCACCTGCCCAGCCCTACGGACTCCAAGTTTTATCGCACCCTGATGGAGGAGGAGGACATGGAAGATATAGTAGACGCGGATGAGTATCTCGTGCCACACCAGGGCTTCTTCAACAGCCCCTCAACATCCCGCACTCCTCTCTTGAGTTCATTGGTATGAAACCTTTCCTCTGTGGAAATATGACAAGCGATTTTAAGAGTGAACTGCTTCTCATAATGTCTGTATTTTCTTTCTCTCTCTTTTTAAAAGAGTGCCACTAGCAACAATTCTGCTACAACCTGCATTGACAGAAATGGGGTAAGTGGGATGACCTTTAAAAAAGGAGCAACTTCTCCTATGTGGAGCAACTTCTACAAAACAGTCCCTTTAATATTGATTTTCTCTACTTCAAACCTAGCAGGGGCACCCTGTGAGAGAAGACAGCTTTGTCCAGAGGTATAGCTCAGACCCAACGGGCACTTTCTTGGAGGACAGCATAGACGATGGCTTCCTGCCAGCCCCGGGTGAGTACCTCTCCCGTGTTTCCATCCCACAGCCACTCATTCACAAGCCATTTGGTTGTGAATATAATTGTTGCCCTTCCTTTTCTGTAGAAAGGAAGCAATCCTAATGCTTCCTACCTGCTTTGGTCGGTAAACGGGAGTGAAAATGTGTGCACATATCCTTTTCCTAGACTTTTTCTGGCTGCTTCTGTCAGTTTCTCATTTCAGTTCCTTCACCAGCCAGGTTCCTCATGTTTGCCATGTGTGCCATCTGGCTGGGGAGTTCGCATGCGTGGTTATACATTCAAAGCTTTCTACCACCCCTGCACTTCGGAAAATATCCTCTAAAAGCTGGGTTTCACCCCTTAAACCATTTCAACAATATAAACAGCTTTCTGGCAGTTTCACTGCTTTCACAGATACACAGATACACAGAAGGCAGCTCACGGTTTCACGTGGACTTACAGTGTGGGCGGTTGGAGAGCGAGCCAGCAGCACCGAGGGAGCTGGTGCTGGGTTATGCAGCCCTGATGCTTTGTGTCCTTAAAAAAACCCAACCAACCCTTCCAAGAATACACCACAGCTAAAAAGGGTGAAAGACCCTGCAAGGGATGGCATTTAAGTGAGATGTGGAGTCTCTGTTTCTGCCAGTCCTTTATTTTCTAAGCACTTTTCTCATCTCTAAACATTTTTCTAGGGAAACAGCTTCTGGCAGCAAAGCTCCCTGACTGCAATTTCAGAACAGTATCTGGGACATAGCCATCCCCATGTCACTAAAATCAGCAGTAGCTATCTCGCTGTCTCATGGTCCAAGCCATCTTTCTGCTGCTTTGCAAACCAAATTCCTGAAGGTGAACTTCAGGGCAGTGCGTTTGGTGCCATGGCACGGCAGTCCCTGCCTTTGGCTCTCTTCCACTCCAGGAAGTTCAGTGAGATGCTGTGCGCAAAGAGCATGTGGCAGCTGGGTTGAAACTACACCTCGAGTGATGCAAATGGCTGCATTAGTTATATGTCTTCATAGAATCATAGAATAGTTTGGGTTGGAAGGGCCCTCAAAGGGTCATCTAGTCCAACCCCCCTGCCGTGGGCAGGGGCATCTTCAACTAGATCAGGTTGCTCAGAGCCCCGTCCAACCTGACCTTAAATGTTGCCAGGGATGGGGCATCCACCACCTCTCTGGGCAACCTCTGCCAGTGT